GGTGCTGATTTGACAAGTCTTGTCAGGAGCATGAAGTCTTGTCAGGATCTTGAAGTATGGTGCTGATTTAACCAGTCTTGTCAGAAGCATGACATATGGTGCTTATTTGACAAGTCTTGTTAGGAGCTTGAAGTAGTGTCTTGATTTGACAAGTCTTGTCAGGTCTTTGAAGTATGGTGCTGATTTGACAAGTCTTGTCAGAAGCTTGAAGTAAATCTTATAAGGAGCATGAAGTATGGTGCTGATTTGACAAGTTTTGTCAGGAGCTTGAAGTATGGTGCTTATATGATAAGTCTTTTTAGGAGCTTGAAGTCTGGTGCTGATTTGACAAGTCTTGTCAGAAGCTGATAGTAAGTCTTATAAGGAGCATGAATTATGGTGCTGATTTGACAAGTCTTGTCAGGAGCATGAAGTCTTGTCAGGATCTTGAAGTATGGTGCTGATTTAACCAGTCTTGTCAGAAGCATGACATATGGTGCTTATTTGACAAGTCTTGTTAGGAGCTTGAAGTAGTGTCTTGATTTGACAAGTCTTGTCAGGTCTTTGAAGTATGGTGCTGATTTGACAAGTCTTGTCAGGAGCTTGAAGTCTTGTGCTGATTTGACAAGTTTTGTCAGGAGCATGAAGTATGTTGCTAATTTGACATGCCTTGTCAGAAGCTTGATGTCTTGTGCTGAATTGACAAGTCTTGCCAGGAGCTTGAAGTCTGGTGCTGATTTGACAAGTCTTGCCAGGATCTTGAAGTACGGTGCTTATTTGACAAGTCTTGTCAGGAGCTTGATGTCTGGTTCTGATTTGACAAGTCCTGCCAGGATCTTGAAGTGTGGTGCTGATTTGTCAAGTCTTGCCAGGATCTTGAAGTATGGTGCTGATTTGACATATCTTGTCAGAAGCTTAAAGTATGGTGCTGAGTTGATAAGCCTTGTCAGGAGCTTGAAGTATGGTGCTGATTTAACATGCCTTGTCAGGAGCTTGAAGTCTTGTGCTGATTTGACATGCCTTCTTAGGAGCTTGAAGTATGGTGCTGATTTGACATGCCTTGTCAGGAGCTTGAAGTCTTGTGCTGATTTGACATGCCTTGTAGGGAGCTTGAAGTCTTGTGCTGATTTGATATGCCTTGTCAGGAACTTAAAGTATGGTGCTGATTTGACATGCCTTGTCAGGAGCTTGAAGTCGTAGCATGAAGTATGGTGCTGATTTGTTAAGCCTTGTCAGGAGCTTGAAGTATGGTGCTGATTTGGCAAGTCTTGTCAGGAGCTTGAAGTATGGTGCTGATTTGAAATGTCTTGTCAGGAGCTTGAAGTATGGTGCTGATTTGAAAAGTCTTGTCAGGAGCTTGAAGTATGGTGCTGATTTGAAAAGTCTTGTAAGGAGCTTGTAGTATGGTGCTGATTTGAAATGTCTTGTCAGGAGCTTGAAGTATGGTGCTGATTTGAAAAGTCTTGTCAGGAGCTTGAAGTATGGTGCTGATTTGACAAACCTTGTCAGGAGCTTGAAGTATGGTGCTGATTTGACATACCTTGTCAGGAGCTTGAAGTATGGTGCTGATTTGACATGCCTTGTCAGGATCTTGAAGTATGGTGCTGATTTGACATGCCTTGTCAGGAGCTTGAAGTATGGTGCTTATTTAACATGTATTGTCTGGAGCTTGAAGTATGGTGCTGATTTTACAAGCCTTGTCAGGAGCTTGAAGTATGGTGCTGATTTGGCATGCCTTGTCAGGTGCTTGAAGTATAGTGCTAATTTGACATGCCTTGTCAGGAGCTTGAAGTATGGTGCTGATTTGACATGCCTTGTCAGGAGCTTGAAGGCAGGAGCATGAAGTATGGTGCTGATTTGTTAAGCCTTGTCAGGAGCTTGAAGTATGGTGCTGATTTGGCATGCCTTGTCAGGTGCTTGAAGTATGGTGCTGATTTGACATGCCTTGTCAGGAGCTTCAAGTATGGTGCTGATTTAACATGTCTTGTCAGAAGCTTAAAGTCTTGTGCTGATTTGACAAGCCTTGTCAGGAGCTTGAAGTATGGTGCTGTCTGGACGGATTCATCAACAAAACAGGGTCAGGAGCGACTGAACAAGTTCATATTCAAAGCCTGGTTTTAAGCTTTAAGCCTGGTGCTGACTGGACACATTTGGAGCTGACTTGACAGGTTCATGTTAAATACCAGGTCAGCAGCTTGAAGTTGGGTGGACAGGTTCATATTCAGTGTCTTGTCAGTTTAGGGCTGACTGAACAAGTTCATATACAAAACCTGGTTAGGAGCTTGAAGTAGAGTGCCTGGTTTTAGCACCTTTGATTATATTGGTTTTAGACATAACTTTCAGATGACCTCACTAATCCATTTTCAGAATGGTGATGGTTCTGAAGTCTGTATAAACATGTATCTTTTTTTAGAATGTTGCCGGTTTCTGTAAAAGCATTTCTTTCAGAACTGTGACAATACTGGTGCTAGAAGTGGTCGGTTTTTCAATTCCCATTTCCTGTGATGCTTTTGTGCTATTTAATTTCAGAACAATGCCGACTCTAAACATGGCGACAGAAATTTCTGTCTTTATTGTTACAATAATGTGCAACTTTTAGCAAATTATGACTTATTTTTGGAGTGACTTGAGTTGCATGACAAGCTATCCCTTGTAAAAGGAGTATCTAACAACAGCCGTCAGTAGTTTATAGATTGCTTGACTATTCTCAGGGCTTGATAGTCCACAAGAGCCTGTAAATGTAGAATTTTCCAAGTTCTCAATGGGCCATAATTCTGTCAAAGTCCAAGTTAAAGTTATAAGCCTTGGACAGTGACCTACTATTACGCTCTCAAATAAGTGTGTGAAGTTCCTCTTCAGTAGTTTTGGAGAAACAAACATGCATGCAAAATGCTTAACTAAAGTGTAATGGCAACGCCAGGGTGTGTACAATCACAGGGTCTCACTGTTCTTTGAAATAGTCAAGATAAAAATGGTGTACTGTACTCTAGTCTGACGTCTGTTTAAGCTTGAAAACATCAACAATTTCTTATTGTACATGATTGCTGTTCTACTGTTCTATCAAAACCATGTGAACATATTTTTTTTTCAATCAAATTACAGCTTGAAAAAATTCTCTTTAATTCTTAATTTGTCATCACAGACTTAATTTACGCCATAAAAGTAAAATTTGCTAAGATAATAGATTCTTTCTAAAAACCAAAGCATCCACCTGTCCTAAAACACTTTTTTTTAAACAGTAAGGAAATGGAGAAGATGAGCTACATTAGCATGCATCAAAACTTAACTGGTAATTAAGATGGTACATGCCTTATAATAGCTCTACTTTCTCTTTGAATACTGTAGTTGCAGTTTTGTTCCACTGGATACTTTTATTTGTAGTGTCACATAACAAGAGCTGTCACAGGAGACAGCGAAGCTCGACTAATAAAATACTGGACGCAGTAAGGAGGACAAAACTATGAAAGAAAAATCAATTATGTATAATTATGTATTAAGTTATAGTAAAAAAATAACATTTGTTAACATAAATTCCAAGATCAAGGGGAATAATTCTAGAAATAGTCACGCTAGAGTTATGAACCTTGTCACACAAAATGTGTGTAATGATAAGAAATATATATTTGAAGTTTGAAGTAGATACCTTAAAAAGTAAAGAAGTTATAATATTTCTTAAAGAAAATCCTAAGTTCAAAGAGAGATAAATCTGTAAATATTGCTTCAAGAGTTATGAACATTGTCACATAAAATGTAATTGATGATAAGGAATAAGTATTTGAAGTTTGAGGTAGATACCTTTAAAACTAAAAAAGTTATAGTAAAAAATAACATTTTTCTAGTAAAAAAAAATCTAAGTTTATGGGGAGATAATTCTTGCAATATTGGTGCTAGAGTTATGAACCTTGTCACATAAGATGTGGATGATGATAAGGTACATATATTAGTATGAAGTTGATCCCTTTAGAAATAAATAAGAAACAGTAAAAAAAAATATTTTTTAAGGAAAATTCTAAGTTCAAGGGGAGATAAATCTGAAAATATTGGTGCTAGAGTTAAGAAACTTGTCACATAAGATGGGGATGATGATAAGGTACAAATATTTGAAGTATGAGGTTGATCCCTTAAGAAATAAAGAAGTAACAGTAAAAATTAGTATTTTTTAAGGAAAATTCTAAGTTCAAGGGGAGATAAATCTGAAAATATTGGTGCTAGAGTTATGAACCTTGTCACATAACATGTGGTTGAAGATAAGGAACATATATTTGAAGTTGATACCTTAAGAAATGACAAAGTTGTAGTGAAAAATATTTTACTGCACCAAAACTTTAATCTGAAATCTGGACGTATAGTCAAGCTAAAAATGTACAAGTATCCATTTACCCACAGTTCAGCCTGTGATCAATAGTCCTGAAGACTGATATATTCTAGAGCTGGTTTACATATGCCACTAACTCAGTTAAACAAATCTTCCTCATTGTAGTCAGAAACACACCCCTAGTATTGGCAGCGTTAATAGCATTTTAACACTTCAAATTATCATTGGACTTTTTTACAAATGTACCAGTAAGTCAGGCAAGTTAATAACACATATTTAATAAATGTTTCAAAACATGTTCACACAAGAATGTGCCTGAAATACATGGCTGCATTGCCTTTCTTAGAAAGTCCCTGGTCTGAAACCAGTCCTAAGATCATTACCAAGACAAAATGTCCTAACTTATGATTCAATGTTGTGACTCCTTCAATTTTTGAACAGCAATGCAGATGAACATTAACACATAGCAGATTCAAGCTTTTTTATAAAACTTTTCTCTGAACAATAAAATATTGACAACAAAGTTGGTCTTATGTCCCAAGACTGAGTGACTGTTATAAAACACAGTTCAGCTCATAACTACAACTGACCTCTGTAGACCTACATCGGAACATTACCTGATAGCAAAAATGTCTAAAACATGTGCTTTGTTTCTTTGGCTTTTATCTCAAATTTGTTGACATAAAATAAAAACAACACATACATTATGCCTAGATATTTTATTATGACAAATTGTTAATAGCATTTAACAATCAACATGTAGAGTAGAAAAAGACATGTTTTTAGAGAAGAATGCATATAAACTTACACTATGAGAGAATTGTAAGGCATTTTCCTAGTTAAGTTCCTATTGGTACAAATCTATGATATGTTAGGGTGATGTGTTTCACTTGATGAAAACTATTCTTACAACATGCATCCATTACATATTAAACTGTATGTTCCTTAAAAATTAATGCATAAACATATAAAAGAGATTAAAAGTACATGAAACACTTCTTGATACACAAAATACTAACCATTATAAATGTGTATGCATAAAATTACAATATGTATTTCATTATTATATATTGTAGTTAAAAACAATAAGGGATAATTATAAATATTGGGAGTATTCTTTATCTCTCTCAGTCTGCAGTTAATCAGAATATCACTATTCTAGAATTTCTACATGAACTGTTAGATGACATGTTACTAAGCTTCAATATGACCTACTAGAGACAACATCTGGTATTGATGTCTACAAGACTTTAGTATTACTACAACCATACTGACATATGATTTTTGATGTGCTTGGCATTTAAAAAGAAAATTAGAGATAAGAAGGAGTAAGCTGCCCAGACACTTAAAATAATTGTTTACAGATCAATATCCTTGCCATATAATATTTAACATGATGAAATAAACAAAATTTACCATATCTCAATACAGTATTATTTTTGTGTACTTATGGAAAGCAAAATGAAATTTTAAAAAATCCCAGTGAATTTCAACTGCATATAATTAGCTTAAAGGCATTACTTTGTACATTGAGAGAGTTAACTAACCAATCAGCTGGCCATCTAGTTGTACAATGATAACTAAATCTAAATCTGTAAAGGACATGCATAGACAATTCTTATTATGACGAAAAAATCTTAAACAATGACAACATTTACTTTACTATATTTACAGATAAAATACAGTCAGGTCTTCAGTTGCAATGTTTTTGTTTTCCAACTGAAATATTTGCATGATAAATATATCAGGTTTAAAATATCTAAAAATGAAGGCATGCACTGGGTGTAAACGAGATAAAACAAAATTCTAAATTAAAAGATTAAAACAATTATTAAACATGAATGACACATTATACAGAAATTATATCAAGTAAATCTTTATTCCTGCAGTCTGGGGTAAAAACTACAGACTGGGAGATCAAAGTTCATGTATATATAGGCAACTTTTCCACAAGAAGTAGATCTTATTTATGTAATTTTGTCTGAAAAGCGAACCAAAAATTCCAAAACCAAATTTTAGATATTATTTGGTACAGAACAAGATATACAATTCAATCATACATAAAAGTAGATAGGTCTAAGCAAATAAAAACTGGTTAAAAATGAAAAAATTCAGATCTGTGGCCAAATCCCAACAGTGTAACAATCTCCAGACAGTGTCATATATTGTACAACATCATGATCAAACCGACGGTCTATTTTTACAAGATTAACTTGTATGGTACAATTTGTCAGAGATAAAACATAGTAATATAGTAACATCAAAGAAGCATAACATAAATGATAGGGTGAAAAAAAAGTTAAACATGTTCAGAATTAGAAAGAAAAAGACATGAGACATAATTTGGACAACACATAAGTCAACATTTACTCCTCATTCTGTCACTACATGTCACTATACATGATTTTTTTTTTCACATACACTACAATTTACATTTAGACAAATAGCATTCAATTTAAAAGCATAAGAGGATTTCATTTATATGTAATAAACATGAATTGATATGCAATATACTTTTCTCTCCCTATTCTTTACAGTATGTTGGTGGTTTGCATGTGTTTTAGTAGTAATAAATTCAGAAATCATCAGGTATTCAATGTAACAAGACTTAGTGCTACTCAGGTCAAATTTTGTGTCAGTACTCCCTGTTCAGCACCTCACATGACTCAATCAAATCCACATTGAATGATTGATCAACAAATTCACTCTAAACATAATAAGCTTACAAAATATCCACTATCAAAGGCCTACACTTAAAATATATGACCAGTACACTTTTCTGTCTTTCCAATAACATTAGGAGGTAGACTGTATCAAGCATAGATAATTTTGCCATTTGATAAAAACAATCACTGTTCACATTGTTAGATAATATGAAACACAAACTGTAGGTTAGGATGTCAACATTGTAACAGCTCAAGGGGTAAAAGCGTAACAGCCAAGCATGTAACAATTTAGCGTGTAACAATTCCAGCAGAACAAACAGCTTACGTTACATAGATCTCAAGCACTCCATATTGCTGTTACTTCTTGTTCACTGAAACACAAAACAAAACATCTATATTAACTGCCATAAGTAAACTTTTCAACATATTCAATCGGCTTTTCCTCATACAAATACTGTATGTGTATTAGATTCACGAAAGCAAATTTTCATGGAAAGGTTCGTTTTAGATGTCTATACAAATATCTAATATAATTTAAGAAACTAGTGTAGAAATATTTGTGCTACACAAGAATTCCAAGATCACATTTAATGTATCTCAAAAACTACAGAAAATTGAAGGAAGCAATTTGTACACAAACAGTAGTCAAACTGCATCATTTTATTCATCTAATATTGGCAAACAGTGAATTGATAAGATTTTGAGTTACATCAAGATATGTCAAGAAATAATATCGCATCTTTAACACACATACAGTTACACAATATGACAAACTGTCACATGCTTTCAGTAGCTGAGACACTTAAAAACAGTGCAATGTGCTTTCTTTTCCTTTTAACAACTCTTTAACATCATAATCAGCTCTCCTTTAATACAAGTTAGGTACTTGAATTTCAAAACACCTTGTTTGTAAAGAGGTTTATCACTTAAATTTCAATAGAAATTACAGAATTTTTTTTATTTTCCTGATGAAAGGAAAACAAAGCTCATAAACCTCTATTTCATGGACAGCAGGCACACAAATAGAACCAATGACCTATCAGCTAGCTGGATAGTTTTTCTTAAATATAAATTTAAAAAAGTTGCCATGAACAAAAATATAACAAGGTGACACTTACATTCTTTGAGTGGTGAACTTGTTACTGTATTTTCAAGGTTCTCTTTAGCGTGCTGAAATGCCTTAGAGGAATCAAACTTCTTGGGAGGAGCTGATTTCTCCTCTAACTTCTGTATCCTACGTTTTTGTTTCACTGTCTGTAGTCTTAATGTCTCTATCTCCTAGAATTATATCATAAAAACTTAGTGTGTTTGTTTTATCTGTTACATGTGAAGAAAAAAATTCCCTAAAAAAACACACACAAATTCATTTAGTTCTTCAAGAATTTTCAATATTATGAGCAAGCAAAAATACAAAGTTGAAATATTAGAAATCAAACATCAAAAGAGATATTATTTTATTTCATAACATTGGTATGTACAGTTTTATTTCATAAATTATGTATAAATGTTTAAGTTATCAAAGCAGCATTCCTCCAGATTCATGCTAATTTTCAAAATTTTGAAAAACTATCGAAAAGTATAATACTATGAAAAGAACAAAGGAAAGTACTTTACACATTGCAAATGGCACCAACAATCCACATAAATTAACCAGACAGGTTAAAATATGGACAAATAGCCCTAAATACTATGTTAGTCACGCACTACAAGTTTATGGCAAAATCAGTATTAAATTGCACATGTAAATTATAACTCGAATCTTTAAATCTTTAATCTCTTTAATTTTCTCTATACCTAGTACATTTTCCTCAGGTAGACTTTCTTAAAATATTTTGACTAATCTGGAAGCATGCAGCGTTCAAATATCAGCAAAATTTAGCAATAGCCAACTGTTAAAATAAAGCCTTATTGAATCAGTGTACTACAAGTCAACAAGTTTCATCAGAATATATATACCTACCTGTTTTAATGCAAAATTTTCATTTTTTATTTTTTCAATATGCTTTATCTTCTGTTTATGATTTTGATGACTTAGAAGATCCACATAACTCTTTCCTAGTCTCTCCATCTCTGCCCGAGTGTCTTTACTCTGCCCTGTAATTATATATATATTGAAGACATTTCTACGACTGATATTTTTTTCTTTATTTCAGAATATTTCTCAACAAATAATGAGTGGAAGAAAATATTTTAATATCTAAAATTGATAATTGTTTGTTTAATTATATATCTATCATGTATTAAATAAGGCTTTATAATATCAATACAATTATCATTTTCTTTCACAGCAAGTAAAGAGTGTATGCTTACATCTGATGGAAAGGAAGTAATAAATAAAACACATTCATTATAAGATTACCAAGAAGAAGTTGTTTTTCCATCTCATAGGAATCAATCTGATCCATAAAAGGTTCAACTTTAGCCTGGAGTTCCTCATACAACTTCTTATAGCTAAAACAAAAAAATCATAGAAAAATTGCTTCAATTCAAAAACTCTTAAACACAATTATTAAAGACAGCAAATTTTATTTAACATTCATAACATGTATGACTGTAATGATAGATAGGAATATTGCTGTGAATTTTGAAATAATATGAAATAAAAATAAATCAATCAAAAATCAATTAATAATCAATATTACAAAAAAAGTAAAATAAGTTATCTTTAAACAAATACAACAAGGGTAATTAGATAAGTATTTGTATCTATGAATTCCCTAACATACAGTATTTTTTGTTAAAATGTATTACGTTTTATGGACCTCATGTTGTTATGACAAAGTTGATAGATCCTTACTCTGACCTTTAATTTGAATAACAATAGATTTAACCACATACATGGACATATGCTTTTTTGTTAACAAACATGTTGTGGTGAAATTCTTATTGTATCGTTAGAATTAGACAGGTCAAAGTTGTATGCATACAATCAGATTCTCGAAATGATTATGTAACAACTTACTGGTCAACTTCATTTTGTAGCTCCTCGGTACTGCTATTGTTTTCTAGCTGAGATTTCAGACCTTGTATTTCCTCCTCATGTCTTACATCAGCAGCTTCACTCTCTCTGTAATATATACCATATTGTCTACATTCTCTGACTATACTCATCATTATAATAACATTAAACACAACAAGGGAAATCATCAGTAAATTTATGTTTTTTTAAATTGTTGTGCAAGTTCAAGAAAATTTTCAATTTTGCAGCCACAAGGTCTTTCTTTGAAGTTCATCTGTCATGGAAGTACACAAAGGAATAAAACAGAACATACATCACACTTACTTTCTAACTTTCATGCAAGAGCGACAAAACCCAATCCAAATAAATTTTGTTTGATTTTTTTTAAAGTTACACTGTCACTGTACTGTTAAGGTCCTTAATTTAGTTCAATAACTAACACATATTTCTATCATGATCTGTAGTTCTGTACAAAATCTCTACAAACTTCAGCAATCAACATATTTAATCATACCATAAAAGATAATGAACACTGCATTCATCATTCAAATTAGAGATATGATGTTGTATATGTCAAAGCAAATACATGTTTAATAACAGGGTCCGTACTCTCATTGACTGAAAGGGGTGGATGGACCCTCATTAAGCCTTGAATACATGTTTAATAATCAAACACAGAACCTATCTCATCTCAAAGATTAACATAATATCTTTTGTAAAGTTTATAAATTCAAGCCTTTACAATTTCGCAATACAAGAAAATAGTTCATATCAAACTAATGTTAAATTTTCAAGTCTCTGAATCAGTTTATAGAAATAACATATGTCTTTTAAATCTTATGGCATTCTTTCATATTATACAGAAATCTTAATCACTTTGAAACCAGCTTGTTTCCCTGAGTAAACAATTTAACTATGTTATTGGGAAAGAATTATTACTAATGTGTTAGTAAAAACAAGTATGGGAAAACTACAATCAAATACACAACATACTATATAACATGATATATAATAAAGCAGGGTCACTCAAGCTGTCTAATGTTATGAAAGTTTGTGCTAGCAAATCATGCAAGTGATCTAGTAAAAACTTACAACTTTTATATAAAACAATGCTCAGATTGCTTCCCAAGGCATTACAAATTTTATGTCGAGAATAACTTTAATATATATCTGAATAAACAACTAAACAGACTGGTGTAATCATGACAGGACAGAATTTTCACATTTTAATCATTAATTCATGACAGAAGCAAAACACATGGGAAACAGCCTCAACAAATTACATATAAACATATATAAAGATTGGTGCAATGCATCATGGGAAACAAGCTGGGTACCAAACAATACTCTCACCTATATGATGTTGGTTGTTTCTCAACAATCTGGTACCCAGTAAAGGTAACACAGATTAACTTCTCATAAAGGTAGTTGCTATACCTGAGGGGGCAGTGAGTCATTCATTATTTTGTCAATAAGGCATATCATATGTTTGCATATTACATTAAAGAATTCTGCCAAGGATAAAAATTGAGAAAATGGTTCTTGTATTGGATTATTATCAGACTACTAGTGTAAACATCTTATATACAAGGTTGCAGTCATCTAAGCAGGAGTTTCTAAATTTCATATAAAAACAATCAAGGTTATTTAAAACTTCTCCAAATAGGTGAATAAAGAGCGGAAAATAAGTTGACCCAGACACTGTTAGTAACATAAAATACATAAAGCATCTAGAACTTGCAAATATTAACTATCAAAATCTTACACTCTTAATGAGCAGAGTTGGGTAAAAAACACATAACTAGTGAATTAAAAACTTAGTAACGGCTTAACATTTTTTATCGAAAAAATGTCAATATCAAAATTTTTCAATTAGTCATAATGACTTACGTCATCTATTTTAGTCATTTAGAACTTTATATTAACAATGATTATACACTGAGATAAACAATAATCAACATAACATAAATAGTTCTTGATGCTAATCAAATACACCTTTCTGAACTTACACAAATCAAACAACAAAATCAGTATTTTGAAACTACTAACAGAAACCAAGAACAATAATCTGAAAGCTACTAAGCCCTATAACACCATGTCGTTAAAATACTAGTGATACTTATTATTGCCAATAATCAGTGACTTACTTTCTAAGTGATTCTACACGTTCCTGGAGATCTACAGCCTCTCTAGCTGCCATAGTCAGCTCAATATCATAATCTTCACACTTCTGCTGTAACTCCTCACACTCTTCACACTTCCTGTAATTATACAATTATCATTCCACTATGTTATATAGGAACACAAAGACACAATTTGTATAACATTTTCACTCAAAAAAGTGAAGTCATTTAAAGAGGAAAGCTTTTTAAAACTATGATTTTCATGTTATATTGAACAAGACTTACATGATAACTTTTCTTCCAAGACGTTGAGGCTTTGATAGATAAATAATAAATAGTGCACATGGATAATATGTCGGGGAGATCTCAATCTGACTAAAGTTCAGATCTAATTTCTTCCATGTAGATCTGATTACCACCGTAAATGTGTCGCCTTCTTTATAATTTGGATTTCCCGAAAAACTATTTTAAGTCATGCAATCGAACCTGTTTTTATACAGGCATTAGAAGAAGTATCAAAATACTGTTATCTGTGGAAGTTGTTGCTTTTTTTTAGACAAAAAAAATAATTTTTAACAAATCAACTTGAAATAATAGAATCAATTTTTAATGGGCAAGATTTTTTTTCAGTTTACCTGTCAGCTTTATGGGCAATGCCATGTTTATTCTCGAAATCATAAAAATTACCTACTCAGTATTGGTTTTCCAAAATTTACATTAGAAACTGCATCGTTTTCAAAATAATGAAAGCTCGCCAATGATAGGTTGTTTGAAAGACCACGAGAAGTTGACTACCTATTAGCGGATGTCAGATCCTTATACAAAGCATTATCTAGGAGCTGATTTTAATCAGCTTGGGGACATCTTGACTGTAACTTACAATATATATACTTTTCTATTTTTTCTAATTACCATCTCTATAGATTAAACAATTTTCATGCCATTTATCAGGTTGAGTTTTAATGAGTGAAAGTTATATGACAATACTTAATTTTACTACTGATGGAATACCAATAATTGTCCTCCCTAACTTCAGGCATTAGAGGGTTACATAATAGAACCTTCAATCAATCTACCAGTTGCAGGCAATTCTAACAGCTTATTTATAATTCAAAAGGACCCACAGCAATTAGAGAGAAGTGCTTTTCAGTATATGATCTCAACCACTTATCAACTAAACTTCCTTAGTAACCATTTTACTTCTTCTTTAAAATTTATGTAACTTTTACAAAAACTAGAAATGTGTTCATAGGACATGCATGCATAATAATGATGTTACAGAAGACATATGTATATCATAAAGAAGACTATAGATAAATGATTTACATTTGTAAATGCTCATTGTAGTCCTCTATTTGTTGTTTATAATTGGACACCTGTTGTGATGACAAGGTTAATTGTTTCTCTTGTTCCCTACATTTCTCTAACACTTCATCACACTCACTTGTTTTCCTGAAATAAAAATATTACTTATAGTTGTATAGATAAACTAATAAAATATTTATAATAAACTGATACAAGAAAGATATCAGAATGTAATTTAGAATGTGATAGTGGATGTGTCCTAAAAAACTAGTCAAACCTGTAGACAAGTCTTAGGAAGTTAAAGAAAAATTGCAAGTTCAAAAAAGATTTCTGAAAACAGGTACACTTCAAACCATTTGTTGCCATCAAGTTTCATATTTTCCCTTTAAAGTCTTCATTGACAGATATCTGTATAGTCTGTATAACCAGGGACCTTAAAATAAAATTTTCTCTAAATTTTAGCAGTAAAATGGTGGAGATATAGAGTACAGTTTACTTACGTTTTAAGTGAGAGATTAACCTGGTAAAGTTCTTGTGTAAGCTGGGCAACTTGTTCAGACAATGCTGACAAACTTTTATCCTTGGTGTTATTCTTCTTCACAAGTTCATCCCGCTCATTACACCGTCTGAAAATAAAATATAGATATGAACACAGGCAAATCTATATGCACCCTTGTTCACTCTATGTTGTAAAGCTATAAAAATCTGCTCCTTGCATATGATAACATATAAATATGAAAAATCCTGGCAAAATTGCAGAGGAAAAATTAGAAGATAGATATTACAGCTCCTATGTGACCTTTCAATGAAGATCGTGTTCAGTTTTGAAATACATGTATATCATATTAACACAACAATAATAAAACTAACAAAATACAATTATGTCTCTTAAAGAAATTTTAAACTTTAAAGTTTGATAATCGGACAAAGTCAGAACAGAAAGAAAACAGGAATGAAAAAAAAGCAATAGGGAAAAATAAATGCAGTTCTGGTAATGGACATACTTGATAAAATCAGCCCTTGTTTGTTGTAGACTACAATTCAAATCTTCAAAACTCTCTTTCTGTACTCGTAATTCCTCCACTAGAATTTCCTTTTCATTTGCAATATCATCGGAATCCTTACACTTACTGAAAATCAGCAACAAAAATTATTTACCATAAAAAATACACTAAATATATACTTGTATCAGGAAAATTGAAAATTCTTAGCAAAAAAACTTTAATATCAAAATTCATTATATATTTTCAAAAGGCATATGATTTCTTATTTCTGTTATTTTTTATTTTACCTTTGAATATACTCTTTTACAGTTTGCTATACATGTGTAAACAGTATGTGTAAACAATATATACAGAAAAATAGTTTTATGGCATGTTTTAAATTTAGGCTTTGATATCACAACAAAAATAGTAGTAACACTTTTTTTTCTTAAAAAAGAAAAGAAAGCCTGCAAACAGTGTAAACTTAAAAACAAAACTATTTAAACTGACCTATCATATGCAAGTTGTAAATCATCAAGCTGTGCTTGTTTGTCTTGGATGAGAACATCTTTCTGTTCAAGTTCCTCCTTCATCTTCGTGTTTTCTGTTTCCAGCTTCTTACTATCTGTTGTTGCCCTGTAAACATAAAGTTATCTCAAACTGTGGGTTACAACATTGGATATTTATCATTTCTATTCTAAATGGTCAAGGTCTTTTTTTCTTTTCTAAGTTCATTTCTAAATTCCTTTCATTTGAGGTCTTAACTTTAATGTCCAACATAAGAATGAAACAACATTTAGTATATAAGGAAGTATTACTGTGAAATCATCATTATTCGTGGGGCACGAATTTTCGTGGTTTTCGTGGATAGGTCAATCCACGAATTTAACACCCGACGAAATTTTATCCCACCAAACGCTTCTTACCATGTCTCTGTTCCATATATCACAACATGCGTCGGCGCTTTTCCGGCCGATATTTGTGGTATGAATGTATATTATAATCAGGTCAGTGACAAATTAAATCCATAAATAGTTTAACTTTGCAATATTTAAGAAACTTGAAAGAAAAATCGATTGTATGTCTTCAGTTTGCTGTCACAAATGTTCGTCGCATGTAAACATCAGGGGACTACTTGATCGTTGTAGGCTACTTGATTGTGTTAGCCAGAATACGTGACATAATCGAGTAAATATGGGAACCAAGTGCATTAATTATCCCCGATAAAACTTTTAACGACTAGTGTTTATATGATCCATTTAAATATATTTTTTTCAATATGTATTTGTGTGACTGCTATTCCGAAAATATCAAAGAAGCCGTCGTCTTTACACTAGATGCACACATACATGTATGTAACTGTATTGAGCCATTTACTGGTATTAATTTATATGCATATAAATTTACACAGTCGATGTGATGTAGTGTGTAGTTTTGGACTAATTCGGGGTGTTAACTTTTTTACTGGCTGGTTAAAAATTGGCAGATGTCGTATAATTTATGCGATGTTTACATTGGCGAATTATAGGGGCATATAATGGAGCTGCATATCATGTCACACAAAGGTGTTAATTGCAGTCAATTATCGGCAGTAATTGTGTTACTGCCAGAGGCCAGGATTAAATTTATTGACAAGAGCTGTGTTATATACACGGGGTAAGTAAAACAGCGCAGTGATTAAGTGAAATATTACTTTCCATTACTTTTTTTTTACAAGAAAATGAAAATCCACGAATTTAAGAACCCACGAAAATGCCTGTTTTGATAAAACCACGAAATTTCATGCCCACGAATACAAATGATTTCACAGTATTCTCTTAAATCTATGTAGCTGAATGACTGATGACACATTCTGTGCAAAAAAAAATCATGATTCAGAAACAAAGGTACCATCTACTTAACTACAAAATAGTTACTAATATTACATAACCATGGATGCAAGTTAAAAAACATCTGAAAACCCTGAATTTAGTATTATTTCCAATGGTTTTATATGGAAAAATGTGATTTCTAAGTAGGAAAAAACCCACAAAAAAAACCAGAATTTCATGCAAATGCCTGAAAGCTTGCACGCATGAAGTAACAGGTGTAATACATACGTATCTAACTTGGCCTGCATTGATTGTAACTGTGCTGCATTACTAAGCAGGTCTATTCCATATTGTTCCATATCTTTCTCTATTTGTTGTTTCTCCTTTCTCACTCTCTCAATCTCATCTTTACAATCAACAATTTCTTTCTGTGTTTCCTCTTTAACCTGTTCATTCTCCATCTCTAAAACTAAACATGAAATAGGACAGCATGAAAAAAGAGTTCATTAATTTTCTGGCAAAATCTGCAATAACCCTGAATCAAAGCTTCAGATAACTTGACAAAGTAGAACAGGATCCGGTTGTTCAAAACATTGGTTAGTGTTAACCAGTGGTTAAATTCATTATCCACTGGTTAAATTTTGTCTGTTGGATAAATTCTGTTGCTCAAAACTTATCCAGCGGATAAAATGCGTTATCCAGCGGTTAACTTTAACCAGTCCTATGACCACCGGATAATGCCCTTAACCAGTGGTTAGTCATCATCATTAAAACAGTAAAAATCATTAAAACTTGTTTAAAACCAGATTATTCTTAAAAATATATGTTTATTTTTCTTAACTAGAACATTTCATATAAAATGCATAGGATTAAATTGAAACATTTATGAAAAAAGTGCTTTTAGAACCCTTTTTCAATCTAAATTTGTTGTTGTTGTAGTTCAGAAAATTCAGTTAAACAGTCATAACTTTCTTATTCTTTAATAAAACATACAAGTGTTGGTACTCATTTTCTTAGTTAGAACATTTCTCATCTAATGGAAGTAATTTCAATTCAAAATTTGAAAAAAAATTGTTTTTGATTTTTTTCTTATGTGTGTCTAAGGGAAAATAAATCTATCAATACTTTAAGGTCTCTGATATACTTTTTGTTAAATTCCAAAAACAAGAAAGCACAAAACATGCAAAATTATTTTTTGGGAGCTTTTTGATTCTAATAAATTTATTATTCATCAAAAAATCAGCCATTTTGTTTCCAGAATCACTAACCAACCCTGTTGCATTGTGGTACTTAACCAGTGGATAAACACGCTATCCACTGGTTAGGTAGCCAGTGTACTATCCAACTGTCAAACAATGAAATTTTATTCACTGGATAGCTGGCCGCTGGATAAGGATTTAACCAGTGGATAAGTTATCCAGTGGTTAATTTTAACCAATGTTTTGAACAACCGGGTCCTGTTGTCTAATCTTCTAGCCAGAAACAACAGTCTTTATTCCACATGAATTACATTGTATTACACAAATATTTGTTTTGACTTCAAAATACTTAAATCACAAAAGATTTCTTTGAAAATTTGCAAATTAATGACTTGAGAAACACGAGAAATGTTACCTTTAATCCTGCACTGTAGTTTAGCAATTTCAATATCTAGTTCCGACTTATCTGTAAGCCAGTTGTCTAATTCATTGGCCATTTGATCTTTCTGTTCTCTCAAGCCTTCAACTTCTTCAGTAAGGGCAACAATCTTTGAATGTGTTTCCATTCTTTCTTTCTCCACTGCATTTGAATGCTCATCAAAATCAGCTTGAAATTTCTCCAAAGTTGTCTGTAATGTTTCATTTTGTTCAGATAGTTCAAATGCTCTTTTTTCAAATCCAGCTTTCTCAGTGTCAAGTGTTTCAATTCTTATCTTCAGTTCTGGTATTATTTCCATTGCTTTGTTTGCCTGAGAAACAGTTTCTTCAGACTCACATTTTACAATTTTCAATTGAGCCTCCAAGTGTCCAACCTCTGTATGCAATTGAGATTTCTCATAAACTAAATCACCCAGTTTGTTCTGTAACTGTACTAGCTCTGCTTTATCAGCATCAAGCTGGTTAGTTAACTCTTCAATCTTATTATCTGAAAGGGTTTTCTGATCTAACATATCCGTCTCCATCTTCTTAACTTTATCCTCAGTATCACCTAACATACTCTCTGCCCTTGACTTCTCAAACACTAACTGTTCCACTTGAATCAGAAATTGTTTTTTCTCTGTTTCCCAGTTTGCTTCAGCCTGTCTCAACATTTCTTCAAGTTTATCATTTTCTTCTTTTGTTCTACTCAACAATTCCCCAGTTTCCCTTAAAGTTGCTGCAAGATCTTCATTCTGGGCTTGAAGCTCAACAATTCTTTCGTGCAAATTTGCAGTTGTTTCATTAATCAAGGTTTCCCTTTCTTGAAGTGAGGATATTTTTTCTTCTGTTTCTCTACATTTGGTTTCATGTATGTTTTGTAATTCTGCAAGCTGTTGCTGAAGGATCAAGGTGCCTGCCTGTAACTCCTCAGAATTGGCTGTTAGCACCCTGGACATAAACAAAATTACATTAAAACGTCATTCAACAGTGACAATGATTAACAGTCTAACATAGAAAACACAATTCCAGACATAAAATATTCTTTCCCAACCTAACATCAATAAATTACGGGAAAAAGTTGTGTCTATAAAGACCAAATAAATATTCTTAGCATGAACCTACACAATTTGCCATATATTAAAGAGTAGAAAATTATATTATTGTATTGTATTGAATTTGTATTATAATCAACTTTACATGATGGCTGAAAATAAAATATAAATGAATAATTTGAAATAAAATCATAAATCTGTATGCTTGACTCTTAAACAGATGCCCAAGGGCAACATGTAGGGCCCACTGTCATATCTGACCTAAAGCGGTCCTTGTGAGAGAACACTGTCTTATGATGTTGATCATAGGTGCCAGGATTTTTGAAATTCCATGAACTAGTGGTAGACTTATGGTGCGGACAAACTGTTTGAGACCTTATTTTTGCCTGACCAATGTACACTAGCTCACACTGTAGACTCTTATATCATACCTAAGATGTTCTGTTCTATTTGCTTGTTCTGTAGACATCTGTTTTACTTGATCTTTCAAATTTTCATTGCTGTCCATTAAATTGTCTCTAAAATATAAAGGTAAAACACCACAAAATAAATGATTAAAACTATATTCTATTGAGAGAATTACATTTAAGAATGTGAATACTCCTCCCTGTCTATTATTCTCTGTCAATTGCTTACATATTTGTAAATATCTTGAATTTTTCTTTATTTTTACACTTAATAGGGCATAATGAAAATTATAATTAGCCATGTATTATATGCATAGCTTTTGTTAAAAGAGTGGACTACCATGAGCTATTGCAGGTTTCAGTCTAATTTCTCTCTTCTCTAATGTGTAAATTATCTACATGTGTATATATCTTGAATAAAATATGTTTGAATTAAGAATGTCCTCAAATTGCTGTGATATGCAGTCTTGCCTAGCTGTTTACTTGTGGCACAGGCCTGCCATTATAACAGCTTACAAGGTAGAATTTATAGAATGATCAACCAAGTTTGTAACAGAAAAACAATATGTCACTGCTACATTAATTATAAGAAAGAAAGTATTTTTTGTTTGTTTGATTTGGGTTTTATGTCACACTGACACAGTATAGGTCATTTGGCGACATTCCAGCTTTACTTGTGGAGGAAGACCTCAGGTGCACTTCCGTGCATTTTTTTAGGCACGAACGGGCACCTGAGTAGAACCACTGACGTTCCGTAAGCTAGCTAGATAGCTTCCTCAAATGAAAGAATCCAAAAGCCCAGTCAGATTCGAACCCACAGCGGTGAGGGGCAAGTGGTAAAGAAAGTATTACCTTGATCAAATTATGATGCGTAACTAAAACATTTTGTTAAACTAACAACTGAAAAGGTATTTTTTCTTAAATCAGTATGCTACATAGGCTTATCTAAGGTTGAACATACCTTTGTTCCTCTAACAACTTTCTGGCTTTAACCACTTCTTTTATTTCATTACGAACAGCTAGAATTTCTTCTTTAAGTTTCTTATTCTCTTCCATTACACCTGACATCTTGTTTTTCAATGCTTTTGTTGTGCTATTGCACTCTTCCACCGAACGTGCAGGCTTATGACTGGACCCCTGAAGTAACACCAAATTTTATTAAATACATATTTTTACACTCATATGCTGTTATTGTGACAATGCAATAGCTGACTTAAGTGGATTGCTAATACAAACATTTTTTCTTGCTGTTACTCATGAAATGATTTTCTGATTGGGTATAACTACAAAATGTATAATACTAGTACATTATACATAAACATTTAAACAATGAAATGTATGTTGATTATTATCAAAAAGTGATTTATTTCATGATTAATATCACATACAGTTGCCATCAAAAATATTGATCAAATCTGTTATTCCTCTAAAAAAAATCCCCGAAAAGCTATATATACACTACCTGTGGTGGCGGGAAGAGTTGTTTGACAGGTGTTTTACCATTGCTGATGGTGCTTGCATTTGCACCTGCACATACACCATCTACAAATAATACATTAAAATGCACATAAAGTTAACTTTTCAAAATTATCTCACCAGTGATTTTTTTCAATTTTCAAAACAACCTGAGGCTTTCTAAAGGTGAAAATATAGCTATATAATTCAGAAAAGGGGAAAATCAAATTCCAACAACTGAGAATGGAATTTACTCACACATTTTAAAAAAAAAATTCCAATTTCAATTCAATTTAACATGCACAGTACATAGCAGAGGCAAACTTCTAGCTGATGTAAGTCAGCTGTTGTTATGTCATAATTCTGCAGTTTTCTGTCTTCAAAATTTTTAACATTCACATTTCAAAGCCATCTTTTGAGTAGATTTATTTGGTAAAGAAACTGGTAATACATCACATAGTACTGAGGCACAGCCTTCATGAAGGAACCATAAAATGTTTTTTTTCTTTTCTTTCAATTCATACTGAATTAAAGTATTATTTCAAGCTTGTCTTTTCCTTACTAAAATGAGCATTTATTTTATGTATTCTGACAAACGCTTTAAAAGGTATAAAGCATTATTTTTTAAAAATATTTTATAAACTATATAAGGGTAAAATTATGTTGTAACAATCTTATGGTTGATTCTCTAAGAGTTGAAACATAGAATATCTACACCCATAACTGTCTACTGTACATAAAATAAAATGTTCCAGAAAAAAATATTTAATATAATTATGCTGGTATTCAAAGTAGGAGTTTAACCATTCAGTAATGCTTTCTGACATGCTTCATTCCCTTTTACGGAAATAAAGAAACATACTTTTTTCATACAGATATTTTGGGTTGTTGTTTTTTTCAAAATTCAAAATATCATTAATTTGTTAACTTCAGGTAATATACCCAATGTAGCTTTAAACATTTTACTTGCAAAATTTACCTTTAGGATTTTTAAACCTTTCAGATTTATCTACTACAAATCCACGAGCTTTATCTTTTTGCTTCGGGTCATATGAACCAGGAGGTGGGGCACATCCTGAAACATAAAATATAAATATATACAATTAATAATCATCACATAGAAAAACAAGAGCCCGGTTTGAACACAGTTTGCACAGAGTGATGCTTCCCGAAAAGGTTTTGGACATAGGAAAATACACCTCTTGTAGTTTCAGAGTTATGTCCATGGACAAAGTTCAAAGTGCAATAATTCAAATATTAGGCAAGGCAGAAATACTGTTCTTTGCACTGGACTTCTAATTAATGAGATCTATCTACTTACAAAGTTTCTTTTTGATATCTCTTATGGTTTCCCAGTTAAGTCCCAGACAAAGTAATGAAAGTTCAAAACGTAAAAATTAACAAAGGGCAATAACTCCAAAAAAATTAGGCATGGCAGAGTAATGGTTCTTGTGCATGGCACATCTACCAAATAAGTTCTATCTACCTACAAAGTTCCATGCTGACATCTTTTATAATTTTAAACAGTTATGTTCCTGACAAAGTGTAAAAATGAACAAAGGGCAATAATTCCAAAATTAGGCAAGGCAGGGTTACAGTTTTTGTGCACTGCATATCTACCAATTAAGATCTATCTACCTACAAAGATTCAGGTTGATATCTCTTATAGTTTTAGAGTTATGTCCCCGACAAGATTTTTCTAATAGGGGAGATAATTCAACAAGAGCTGTCACAGGAGACAGCGAAGCTCGACTAATAAAATACTGGTTGCAGTAAGGAGGACAAAACTATGAAAGAAAAATCAATTATGTATAACTATGTATTAAGTTATAGTAAAAAAATAACATTTGTTAACATAAAGTCCAAGATCAAGAGGAATGATTCTTGAAATAGTCACGCTAGAGTTATGAACCTTGTCACACAACATGTGTGTAATGATAAGAAATATATATTTAAAGTTTGAAGTAGATACCTTAAAAAGTAAAGAAGTTATAATATTTCTTAAAGAAAATCCTAAGTTCAAAGAGAGATAAATCTGTAAATATTGCTTCAAGAGTTATGAACATTGTCACATAAATGTAATTGATGATAAGGAATAAGTATTTGAAGTTTGAGGTAGATACCTTTAAAAATAAAATAGTTATTGTAATACTCATTTTTCTAGTAAAAAAAATCAAAGTTTATGGGGAAATAATTCTTGCAATTTTGGTGCTAGAGTTATGAACCTTGTCACATAAGATGGGGATGATGATAAGGTACATATATTTGAAGTATGAGGTTGATCCCTTAAGAAATAAAGAAGAAACAGTAAAAAATAGTATTTTTTGAGGAAAATTCTAAGTTCAAGGGGAGATAAATCTAAAAATATTGGTGCTAGAGTTATGAACCTTGTCACATAAGATGTGGATGATGATAAGGTACATATATTTGAAGTATGAAGTTGATCCCTTTAGAAATAAATAAGTAACAGTAAAAAATAATATTTTTTAAGGAAAATTCTAAGTTCAAGGGGAGATAAATCTGAATATATTGGTGCTAGAGTTATGAACCTTGTCACATAAGATGTGGTTGAAGATAAGGAACATATATTTGAAGTTTGAAGTTGATACCTTAAGAAATGACAAAGTTATAGTGAAAAAAAATTATGGGAGTTACTGCCCTTTAATCTGAAATCTGGACACGGACGCCGACACCGGGGCGAGAAGGACAGCTCTCCATATACTTCGTATAGTCGAGCTAAAAATCGGGCAAAATAGAGTTATGGTTCTTTGACACTGCACTCTGCCTCAAAGCCCACTACCTTTGTCTGAAGTTTAAACAAATTATCTCCAAGAGTTTTCAAGTTATGCTCCAGGGACAGAAGGAAAAGGCCCTGACTATATGCTTTCCCTCCGAGGAGCATAAAAAGAAAAACATGTGCATATATTGATATATATTTGATCCAAAAAGTTAAATAAAGTATCTAGCAAGTACATGAGAGCTATTCAGCCACAAAATTTTGAGCTGATATCTCCTTAAGATTGGGAGTAATAGCCTGCTAAAAAATAAAAATTGCAAGTTAACATTTATAGACAAAGGAGGGCAGTAACTCCCACAAAAAATATGTACTGACTTGTCATTCCTGTCAACTGCATTCCTTTTTACTGTGATCTATCCTCCAGTAAAGTTTCAAATTAATATCTCTACAGAAACAAAGGGCAGTTACTAATAAAAATCAAAGCACTGAATTTGTTTTAGTTTAATTTAACCATATTTTATTGCCTATATAGTATAGTATACATGCAAATATACACACAAAATAGAACAAGAAAACAAAAGCAAATGGGTTAGGCAACAAGTTCTTACAACATTACATAAATTTAAGCCCTTCTCAGGTAATTACCATTCTCAGTGAATTTGTTGGAGTCACAAAAAAAGCATTATTTTTTATAACCGTTCTTTTGTCGTGACACTGTGTATGACAATATTGAGTACTGAAGTATCAGATTTATTCTTTTTAAAATAAGTATTCATATCTCAGCCACTATAAAATCAAAGGCCTTCAATATTTTAACTCTGATATTAATTCGAGAGTTAACCTTACTCATTGCAGAAAGTTAGTTGTTGTAGACTAAGAGAGATCATATTAACAGAAATACACATGTAAAAGGAAACCAATCAATATGACAAAAAAAATCATAGTCATCCTTCACAATCCTGCCACACTATTCTCTGCCCATAACATTTTTTGTACATCAGACTAATTTTTATTGCAAAAATGTGACCCTTAGTACAAGGTTTTGTATTTTTCTATTTCATATAACAATTAATAGACCCCATGGACTGCCTTGGACTGAAATTTTAGGGAGAAGTTACTATTCCCTTCTTGAATAATAGCGAGAAGTTTTTTTAATTTAGGGAGATGTGATGCTTACATGTAACATCTCATCAAATCAATCTATAACATTGGATTTGTTGTGTTTTTTTTTTCAATTTTATTGCACAAATTAGAATTACTAGAATTGTGTATGTCTATATAACAAGTATGATATGTAACCATGCATATAAAAATATACTTGTATACTTTATTGCATATACATATAAAATGAAGTTATGAACAAATTGTTAAGTAATTTTGTATCACCAATTAAGTTTTATGTTACACCCATAGATAAGATTAAATTTATTGACAAGCGCAATGTGATGTGTAAAGGATTTCAGGACTTTGCATCTCCTGGACATTTCGGCCTCAAAACCCTGGTCCAGATACCGTGTAAAGACCTGTATGTAGGGAAAGCAAAAAAAGTGTGGCAAAGTCAATTTCGCTTAAATGTTCCAGGGCGCCTCGAATTTAACTCTTTTGGACAAATTTCTAACTAGCTAAAACTGAATTCAACTAGCACTTTTTTTTATTTCTGCATAAAAGGTTTAAACATATTGTGTGACAGCTGACATAATCATGAAATTGGGCATGAAAAAAATTATAATACTTCAATTTTAAGTTTAATTATTTGATGTGCTGAAAGACAAAGTTGTTGCTGGATATAGAAAATAACAAAATTAAAATTGTAATTTATTTGGACTGCCCGGGGTACCAATCAGCAACGTAACTTTCTACTCAAAAACTTGATTTAGGGGACAGGAATTTTTATCAAATGTCAATCTCCATGTAAAAAAATAATAATGCAATATTGTCGCCATACTGACAATGTCCGGTCTGGATTATGCGCACAACAATCGGCGCAAAATATTTTGGCAACATTTCCATCGTCATTGAGTTTGTACGTAAGACTGATGTGCAGTTCTTTCTTCCATTTTTAAACTGTTTTAACTGAAGGTCTGATTGTCTTTCTTTTGATAGCCTGTGAAGACAGCAAGTGCGTGCATTGTTTATAACTCGGCTACCTGCGAATATTACGCCCATTCATATTTCGGATTTTCCTGACGAGCGTATTCTGTTTTTTCTTCAACTCGCAAAAAATTGCGAGTAGTCATAAATCTAACTTGCAAAATCATTTTTCAACAAGCATTTTGCGAGTGTTAAATTGGAGCCCTGTGTTCAAACTTAGGCATCTATTTTTTCTTAGTTTCTTAGTCAATCAAATCACCCTGTTGAGGGACCCTACATTATCTTACGTCTCAACTTCAACTACTCCATGGCATGCAAGACTGCACCATTCCTGTATAAAATGATTACTTCCTAGGCATTGACTTCTGTGCACACATCCTTTCACCAGTCATAAATTATTTAAAAATTATAACAAATAACATGAATCGAAATAATTTATTTTTGGCAGTGATAAATAAGGACGATATCTTCCTCGTGTGGCACTTACCTTGGATTTCGTTGAATCTTTTAACGTTTGCTCGAGGGAAAGACATAGTTTTTATAATTTGATTTGGGAACGATACTAAAATAAAAGATTTAATACGAGAGTTAAAAATTTACATATTCTCCGCCAATGAATTTGAAAACAATTTGATTGAACCAATCAGGACGATTTTCTATCGGCTATGTCTAAACAATATTCAAAATAGCATTATCATCCATCGGGGAGCGTTTAGTATTTTGAACACTGCTAAATATTTTCCTTCTATATTTTATAGGAAACTATGAACTACGTGGAAGGTTGCAAAATTCAAAAAAATATATTTATGTGATATAAAAGCACATTTATATTGTATAATCCTATATCTATGTTGTGAAAAATGAATATTTATGTAGAAAAATACTGCATTTGTATTGTATAAAAATTTTAAGTTATAGTCATTCAAAACATATACAATATATAAATGCTGAATTTTACCATATAGATATTTATTTTTTGCATCATTAATGAATTTTTTTTTTAAATATAAAAACATATCACATAAAAAATTTTTTTTTGAATTTTGCAACATTCCATTTGCCATTTTTGCAATGTATCTAATATTTTATGCTTTTGCATAAAAAAAAATGCTCAATATCACATGCAGATAAAATCCTGACCAGTTCCTTTATAGACTTCATGGTTAAACTTATCCTCCAGGACCTTAACTGGAAAAAACATATATTCAGCAAATGTGAACAGGACACTGGGCGTAATTAAACATAATGTCATTATTACTACTACTACTACTACTACTACTACTACTACTACTACTACTACTACTACTACTACTTCTATTACTACTACTACTACTACTACTAATAATAATAATAACTTTATTTTGAGAAGGTGACATATTAAGAGTACATAATAAACATACAACTTATTTCCAATATGGCCTTCTATACATAAATAAACAGAAAACAGAAATAACAATAAACAGCATTATAATTACGACAAATACTTGCAAAATACATAGCATTTTTGTGGATTATAAATAATAACTTATAGAAATTAGTATCTTAACTTCGTATGCACATGCAATCATCAATCAATGTTAACAAAACGCTATAGAGAGCTATATAAATTTCTGTTAAAAATCAATTTAAAGTTTTTAGCGCTTTAAGCTGTATTTTTTATTAAATAATCCTTTAGTTTACCCTTAAAAGATGACAATTTACTTTGTAGTTTTATTTCAGTTGGAAATGTATTCCATAAATGTGCCGCTTTGAATGTAAATGTTTGTTTCATATAATTTGTCCGTGGCCTGAAGTGAATAAGATCATTATTTGTTGAAGAGCGGAGATTATATTTATCATTATTAAAAAAACTGGTAGTTCAGATATATAATGTAATTGGTGCCAGATTATGTTCACTTTTAAAAACCAGTAAGGCCATGTGGTAATTGTAAAAAAGACTACTTTACAGGTAAACATGTGTCACAGAATTCCAAAACACAGTAGGCTAGAGCACACTAGAGACGAGTGCGTCTGGACACCAGGTTAATAATGTCCTACCATAATCTTGTAACAATAACTATCCTCCACAACCTTGAATTCTTAGATAGATTCTCACCGCACATGCATCCCCATTATAGCCTACAACAACTACATGTAAAATCTTACTTTTTCAGATACCCTATCCTTCCTAAACACCACTAACACATGGAAGAAATTTCTAGAACAAATCATAACCTTGCCTGCTATTGAATCACTCAGGCAAGCATTTGCTCTGCTCCCCTAGTTCCAAGCAGTTATTTTACTCTTTGTTCTTATTAAATACAATGTATTTTATACTATACAGCACTTCTGTTTCATACTCTTGATCTTTGATTTCGCATGTTCCCTTATTTTTGATCTGGAAAATAGTTCTCCCAGTTTTTACTTTACTTTCATCTTTCATTAAATGTGGGAGACACACATTGCTCATTGCTTTGTTTTGAGGAGTGGATAGTTATAAAGGGAAAACAAGATCAATTGGAAACACTGTACTTGAGAAAGAATAAGACAGAAATATTATTATGAACAGTGCATCAAAAAGTGTGTCAGGTTAAAATCTGATAGGAAATAAATAATGGTGAATCAAGTGGTTGGAAAAAACCTTTTACAGCAATTGATAATTAAGTGAAATAGGTTGTGGGAAAGACTGAAGAATGACACCTGGTGGCTAGGAAAGGAAAGTCTCCCATTACACTAACGGTCTAAACTGGGCCAGTTTGAAATGCATGTAGTAGTTATATTTGCTGGGGGACTGAGGCAAGCTCCTCCAAGATTCAAATAATTGCAGTTTAATATAGATATATATTTATAAAGCATACAAAATCTTTCTTCACATCTTTCTTAATTTTGAAAACAGAGTTACCCTGGGCCTACATGGAAAATGGAGCTTTGCTGGAGATAGTTTGCCATGACTTGTAGTAAGTCTTCACTGTTCATTTTTTTCTGGTTTTACTCTGATTCTTTGGTGGTATCTACCTAACCAGCTTTCCTGGATAACTAACCAGCAGGTACCAATTTCTCAGAAAGTAACCAACTTCTAATTTTATGTAATTTCTGAATCAGCAGTGACTCACAAATGACTATTAAATACAATGTGTGAGATGGTCATGGAGAAATTTCACCTTACCCTAGGATCCAACTAGCAACCCCTGGATTACTACAATGTAATAGGTAGGGCTGGTACAGTCACTACAGTGCCATTCCTTGAGGACAGCAAATGCTGCTCCAATATTATGCCAGATATAACACTGTAAAGTGTCTCACTCTGAACATCAAATAGCAGTTATGCTGGAACTTTGACAAACAGCAAATAACTGGATCAGTTTCCAAAGCCTATGTTATATAGCCTACATTCCCAGATGCGACTTTCTCCTTGAAAAGTGTGAAAACATTTGGTGTTACACTGTACAATATGCATTTCAATATAAGTTTCTTCTACAGAAAAAGGTCTTGTGTACCACACACTTATCAACAACTGGATGTTTCAATGAAGATCAATGCATACAAACTTCTTGAAAAATTAATGACCTCTTCAAGGTCTGTGAAGCAGCAGCCTTTATCATACAACAATGTAGAAATGAATTTAGATCTTAGTTTGTTTGCTTGTTGTTATTTCACTTTTTCTATATTTGACAAAATATTGCAAATGTACGACCAACACCTCTTCCAATTTCCCAGAAAAGCCCTGTAGATTTCACAATTTTGTCAGTCCATGGAAAGACCACAAATATTTTGGTTTTATAAGCTATCTGAACACGGCCTACCTGCACCAGGAAACTAGTGATGAGGTAAATTTGTCTAATATCTGCTACCCAAGATAAACAACAACTTAATATGATAAGTTCATATATATTTTTATTATTTTCTCTTTAATATATAATATAACATAATATTAAATAACATTTTAGCAAATAAATGCCCAATAATAAGCTACACTAAAGTTTTTGCACGATGATGAAGCCGCCGCTGCATGCATCTTAATAGCTTTTGATCTTTTCTTCCAAACTAAAAATGACTATATTCAGGATGGATCATTTGATTTCATCAACATTCAGATTAGTTCAGTATTACAGAATGTATATATAGCACAAACTGTAACAACTTAACTTTACTTCAGACAATATTAAACTGTGTCAGTATGATTGTGACTAGCTTCCATGGAATTGTTTGAACACATGTTTACTTTCTGCAAGTTACCATCACTTCCATCAAGGATATATATTGAAAATTCCATATTGTTGCTTGAGTTTTTCTCTGTTTTATTCATGTGTTTTACAATTTCCATATCAATTTCACTATTGTTTCTTTCTGTATTAATTTCAGTTTCATTTTTTTCATCACTTTCAATAACTTCTATTTCAGCACTTTCCTTATGTCCTATCTCATCACTTACTTCATTTCTATCATCATGTTTACTCTTTTCAATACTTTTAACTTTTCGTAATGCAGTTTGAAGAATTGTTTCCATCATTTCACTATGTTGTATATACTCTTCCTTTACTTCACCTGGGCTTGTTAAAGTTGCAGGTATATTTTTATCTGCATGTAAATGTGATAGGTCAGGTAGATCTATACTATCTTCTCTGTTTGGAGAGTAAAAGGTTGCATGATCTTGACCTCTGGACTCCGTTTCCAAGCTTATTCCCAGAAGCTTCTCTACCTTTGATTTCTTCTTTCTAGCTTTCTGGAAACATAAAATAACCAAATGATAAATGCATTAATATTCTTACTACAATATATAATTATGAGCCGCATCACGACAAAACCAACATAGTGCGTGTGCCAACAGCATGGATCTAAACCAGCCTGCACATCCGCGCAGTCTGATCAGAATCCATGCTGTTCGCTATTATTTTCTCTCTTGTAAAAGGGTTGGTAAGCGAACAGCATGGATCTTGATCAGACTGCGCGGATGTGCAGGCTGGTCTGGATCCATGCTGGTCGCAAACGCACTATGTTGGTTTTGTTGTGACGCGGCTCATATGTTATCTGGAAAATGTGAGATAATATCATTACATTCTTCAATATTCATATCACTGACTGATTACAGTATCTCAACTACAAACCTCCAGATTCACAAAACTAACAAAAATATTCAATTACATGTATCTGTTGATTTTTTTAAATTTCTTTCAACTTTACACTAGTTGATTAAGTACTTAATATACACTTAATGGTTGAAATTTTTTTTACAAAATTATGTACTACACGCTTTTAAATTACAATAGAATTCAAACCTGATTAAAACTTGGATGTTCACTCTTAAACTGATTTAAACCAAAGTGCCTTTTCTAATTTGCAATATCTTTGTTAAACTATGTATCATTTTCCAAAACAAGAAAATCTGTACGCACTTTATCAGTTTTAAGCATTTAAAAAATGTATGCAAGCAATTTAGCCTGGTTTCATTGATATATATTACATAAAGGTCTCAGAGACATATACACAGAATTAATGTTATGAAATGATTTATTTTATATATAACAAGATGACATAATCTTACCTTGGGCAATGGTCTGTTAGGATCATGTAACTTCTGATGTTGTTGTAATTTTTGCTGGAACAAGAAAGGAATACTAAAGTAACTAAAGGAAATCCTCAATATACAGGTTAAATTATAGTTTACAGTTTAAGTCAAATTATTTATTCATACTGATTTTGATCTGACCATTTAATGCATATGCAATCAATTTTAACCACTAGTGTATAGACATGCCATAATATCTCTACATACAGGATTGTCCCAGAATCTTGGTGACTGTAATGGAGCCATCCTGGTAAATGAAGCATAAATTTGGAATATATTTCACATGCTGCAATGAACTAACAAAATATAGACCATATTATTCTGACTGGAAAAGATCCAATTACAACAATTACAATCAATCATCACATTCCCATCTAAGTCTCTGTTAGTTTTTCAATTATCCTAGAAAGCTGACACCAGGAGGGTATTGCTCAAGACAGCTTTATAATAAACTGGAAATGATGACACACATCCACTGATAGGTATGTGGCCCTTGCTAACAATAATTATTGGCTATAACTTGTGTACAGATCAATTCTTCAGTCGAGTAATTGTTGTATTCAAATTGTGACCAAACATGCCAACAAGTCTAGTTAAGCAGCCAAAGACTGACTGCCTTAGTAGTGCTAAAACACAAATTTACAAAACAATTCAATGTTTTCAGAAATACGCAAATCTAATACCTATCTTGTCTAAAGAAAATGGCAAAGTGTCTGTACTGATAACCATATACTATTCTGTGACTTACAGATATTCTGTATATCACATTTGAAAACAAGCATAAATTGCAGATTTCATTTTAAAATTTTTGCTTTAATAATATTTGCAAGTTGATATTGGTACACAAGGTTGTTTGACCACTAAGAAAATTTTTAGAATTTTATTAGAAACAATTTTCTATACTGATCAAAAGACACCCAATCCCCACTCCCCAAATCAAGACAAAAGTATGACATGTAGAATATAGGGAAGATATCTCTCATATGTGAACATCTTTAAAATGAAATGCTCTTTATCATAACTTCATCAAATGATTCTATTGTTTGCCTTATTTCACATTTTCAGTGGGTTTTTTTATCACAAGTCCATTCTAACAAATATGTTGAATATTCAACTTTTGTTCCATACCTTGGTAGTAAATGTCTGACTACACCCATCATGTTCACAAGAGAATCTCTTTCCTTCATGGTAGCTACGTATATGAGCATTTAGATTACGCTGATCTAGGTAGGAACGTCCACAGTTGTCATGGTTACAGATAAATGACATACGCCTGTCAGCATGTGTCAACATGTGTTGTTTTAACCACTGCTTCTGACTGAATGTTTTCTTGCATTCTGGGCACTCATGTACTGTAACAAATTTATCAGACTAAAAATAATGTAATTCTATCATATGTTAACTATTTTAATCAAGCTTTGCATTCGTTAACACTTAAAGTCTGAAATCTAAACTTTGAAATGCTATGTATATATATTCCTAGATTATATAAATCAGTCAAGACTTCAATAATGTTTGTAACTAGTTATCTGTTGAAATTCAATATAAATCAAAACAGTCAACCCTAAAAGCATCTGCTTTTTTATTATAAAATGAACTTCATAATAACTACTTTTAAGATATTTTAAGGACTTTCACCTTACATTTAACAATAATTAAATTTATTTCAATCTCAGAAAAGGTTATGTAAATTGTGCCCTAATCTATGCATAACCCTTAACTTGCTTGAACAGGAAGTAATTAGCCTCTGAAACTAGTATAGGGCCCGGCCAGCCAGCCCTACTGTCCAATCTGGTCAGTCACTATACTATTGTTAGCTTCTTATATTGAAATCTCTTAAACTTTGAATGGACTGTTCCAAATTCATTGCTGGACAAGTCAATCATAAATTCAACAGGTTAAAGGTTAATATGAACTATAACGAGAAATATTAAATATTATCACCTTACCTGTAGCATGATCCACCTTTTTATGTTTGACTAGCAATGACCATTTGTCAAACTTCTTACCACACTCACTCTCTGTACATGTGTACCCTGTAATATTAATATATATAGATTGTAACAGTACAAATATGCATCTTGCATACCAAAAAGACATAAACTAAAGTTATATTTAAAAACCTTGACAGTGCCTGTCTTCAATTTTCAAATCTATCTTTCATTACCTCTCACAGTTCTAAGCTAATAACATCACACTGAATTCTTAAATGTAATAGTATCTTGTACAGTTTGTGCTTCAACCAAGATCTGTTTATTGAGAAAAGAATATACACGAATATGGCCCACACCCTTATCAAAATTTTAACCATTAAGCCCCTCACTATTTTGTTTTACAGGGCAAAAAATAAACAAATAATGAAACTTTATATTTGGGAATCACTTTATAACATAAACTACCTTCATGTATTTTCTGATGCCTCTTCAGTTTATTTTGTGTTGGGAACGCCTTACCACACCCAGCGACTGGACAACTGTAATAAATAACAGTCAATCAAATTTATTGTTTTTTTATAATCCATCAAATAAACTGTTTATTATGATTTAACTCAGAAACATGAAACAAGAAAGTAAGTTCATAACCTGCAATTAGTTTACATATACTACAAACATTCAACTAAATTGGGTAAAAATTCAGTTCAAATGATTCTCAATTCATTTTCTTTTGAGCTTTAAATCCGAGTAACTGCTAAATTATAAAACTTTTTTTTTTATTGAGGTACATTATTACTTAGGTACGTTAATAAAGCATAAGGTTCATTATTAGAAAATATACAATATTTTTTACCACAACAGCCTGCCCTGTGCATGCTCTTCTAATTTATGTGTCTTTAATTGATGATGCTTGTTAAACACAGCCTCACAGCCAATCACAGTACACTGAAACATAGATTTATAAATCATTCCACTTCACAATACAATCAAATTACTTTGCTTGAAAAAATATTATTTAAACTTAGAATCGTTGATAGAAATAAATATCATTCTTCAATGCAGAAGTCAAATTTGTCATGTTCTTTCTCAGGGCCTTTTCTAGCCAATTTAGAAAAAGGCGCTTGGCATAAATTGGGGAAAATTCTCCAACATTTTGGGAATTTAGAGTATTTTTTAAAAAGTTGAAAAACTACCAAATCCACGACTTGTATGGGTTTTTTTTTAACATGTGTATAATCATATATCTGTCACTTCTTTTAATGAACAGATCAATTTTTCTTAGAAATTGGAACAGTTTAATATTTTTGTAAACAGGGACTATAGTTGCATTTTTATAATTTTTATAATCATCAGACACGATCCCCATTTCCAGAGAATTATTTTACCATTGTAGTTACTGAGCAGATTTTAAAGATTTCATTTTCAAGTTTACGCAGTTTAGTCATAGTCTACCAAGTGGTTAAGGAAGAGATGTTGTTTAAAGAAATAGTGCATACCAATAGATGGACAACACATGACAGACACAATATAATCATAATATTGTTGCGTCCCGTGCGGATGGCTCTTTAATAACTGCTGTAGACTGTTATATGTTTTATTACTTAAGGCCGCTTCTCTATGCAATCTGTTCATGTACTTTTGTATAATAAGTCAGCTTTATAACAGCCTTGTGTTATTTTGCTTATGCAATTATAATAATTCACACCACAGACATAGACATATGCTGTATCATATATGCATTATTTAAATATGCCTACTTTGAATAATGCTTGATAATCAGACACTTACAGACAGGATGCGATCACAAACAAATGCTTATTAATAAAGCACTTAAAATTAATAAGCCTATGCAAGACTCATTTGCTGGTACCAATTAAGCAACTTTCAGCTTTTATGCGGCTCAGAAAAACGGACTGACGGACATCAGACGACACATTATGGACTCCGCAGTAAATTAAATAACTTCATGGAATTATAAGTAAAATAAACAAATAACATAAGAATGTTCAAGTTTAACTATTTAAATTTATTTATGTAAGCCCTTAACAATCAACCTTGCGCATTTGTAAAATCCGTCAACAATAATATGAAATATCTTGAATTTCAATATACGATCGTGCTTACAAAATTAACCTTAAGATATGACTCAGATCGGGGCTGGCGCTTGTGTTAAAAACAATAAATAAACAGTTTTAGATGTATTAATACTTAAACTTTAAAATGGAAAATGTTAAACAAAATAGAATTAATTTAACTCTCTTTTAATATAGATTCTAATTCACCTAGGAAAATATACGCAAATTACTATTGCAAAACTTTTCCGGCATAGAATATTGACTTAAGTTTTATTTCTGACAATAGTTCTAATGTAAAAATAAAATAATTATTAAATTCTTGTTAAAGCTTCTTTAAGTAAATTTTGTACTGAAAAAATAAAATAAAATTACTTTTCAATGTAAAATAATATTTTACTCTAATGAATACTGAGGTTCTCAGTTGCGGAGTCCTCGCTGCTAACAAAAATCTGCCTTTTATATACGTATTGCTAACAGTTTGCTAACGGTTTACTAACAATATTTGAAACTTGTGAGTTTCTAACAAAATGCTAACAAAGAGGCACCGAAAGGGTTGCTAACAGTGCTAACACTGCTAACGGATAATGAAGTACGAGTTAAAATTACACAAAGCGCCATCAATTAAATCGACAAATCTAATATAGAAAATAATAAGAATACACAATAACGAGGGATCGGTAAATGTGATGCAAAAATAAACAAACAAATTATTATTTTCGTATATATAATTTAACGCTCCCATAGGTAACCTCACTTGATAAATAGAAATAAAAACATGACGTCGTAATTACATGACGTCATCAAATCGTGCATAACCAACATGGCTGACAATAAACACTTCCGGGTTTTAGTAAACAGTAAAATTGCCGATATTAGCGTAAGGGTAAGCTTTCAACATTAATTTACATTGACAATCAATAGTATTTAACATTTTTACAACATATAAACCGTATATAACAGAAAATAAATATGCATAGGTTAACTAGCAGGTAAATAAGGTCGGTGAAATGCGGTGCATCACAATATGAGCAACATGTGCTCAAACCTGAGCTTAGAATGATTGCAACGATTGTAGCCATGATCTTTATTGACAAAAAATATATGAAACTATAATACCTTGTACGTATCTCTTTCATGGCACTGGGCTATATGTTTCTTCAGGGCATACACAGAACTAAATGTGGACTCACAGTCACTCTCTTCACATTCCCAACTGTTAAATATATAGAGGTTTTATTGCATGAATTTGTAGAGACTACTACTAAAATGATAAATACATTTGCATGTTCTGCTATTTTTTATGATCTTTATTCATTCAATCATTAATTAATAAAGTAATAAATTCATTCATTTATTTATTGATGATGATTATGAATTTATCATCAGTGCAGCATTGACATTTCCCACTAGACACTTATGATAGTGCAAGTAAAGTGGCTCACCTTATTAATTTCATGTGTCTCTTAACAGTAAACTTTCACTCCATAAAAGTCTAATCATTTAGTTTTCAAATAGAAGTAAAATAGCACAAAACAGTTCCAAGCCAGTAAGACTTTTACATAAAATGCAAATTCTTATCTAAATTTATTTTGTAAATACTATATATATATATATACCTCTGATTCTGTTCCTCATCTGACACATGGGCAACTTGTTGATGACGACTTAAGTGATCCACTCTTTTAAAAGCTTTGTTACAACCCTCAAAACTACAGATGTGTGGACGCTTTAAAAATACAGAATAATAACATTTTATTGCACAACAATGACATGATGATTCACCACATGTAGCAGTGATAGTTTCTTTCTTTTTATTTTGGTTGGGATTTACGTCACACCAACACAGTATAGGTCATATGGCGACTTTCCAACTAAACTGGTGGAGGAAGAACTTGCAATAAGTTTCTCAGAAATTTATGAAAGTAAAATAAGAGCTGTCGGGAGGACAGCGACGCTCGACTATTCTTTGTGCTTGATAGTAAAAGAGCCTTGATAATGTAAAATTTTCTAAGTTAACAAAAGGGCCAAATTTTCCTTTAAATCCATGTTACTGTTAAAGGCCTTGAAGAGAGTCCTATTATGCTCTCAAAAAAGAGTATAAAATTTCAACTTGTTTCTAAGCCAGATGTCAATAGTATATGAAAATATCTGAGGTGGTATGCAAACTTAAACGTAAATTCTAAGTCAGAAAAGGGGTATAATTCTGTCAAAATGCTTGATAGAGTTACCTCCTCCTGTCTACAGGTTAAGGTCATGATGGTGAACAAGTGTGCAAAGTTTCAAAGCCATATGTCAATGGACTTTGAAAATATTTGAGGTATTACAGAAACTAGGCCGACGACTACGCTCTGGTGACTACAATAGCTCTACTTATTCTTATCGAATAGTCGAGCTAAAAATCATTCTTTGCATCCGTTAAACACAGAGAAATTAAAAATATTTCCTCTTTAATCTTAAAGTGTATTCTCCAGGCAGTACTGCAATTTCACACAAGGAAATAAAGATTTCATTTATAAGGTCTCAATCATATTTTTTTAGCTGGCTAATTGTGTTTGTAAGGCAAATAGCATATCATAATGGATCTCTAGATAACATGGAGACAGAAATGCTGCCACTACATCAATAGTCTAGAAAAATACTTCAGTACAGAGACATCATAAAGATATCTGGATATATTGGATAATGTTTTGCCATAAAACAACTTGCCCTTTAATAGCTACAATATCGCCACTGGGTTCAAGTCAGTAATTTTTGGACAAGGCATGTTTTGGTGTTGATGTGTTTCCTTTCTAACTTTCTAGTTTAGTATTCATTTTATGAAAAAGTTTAGACAATGAAATGTAATTGTGTATGTAAAACAGTGTCTTTTCTTTTCATGTGCGTCTTTTTTTTTTGCTAATCTATATTTACTTATCTAAATAGTAGTAATACATCCAAAAACACATATTTTACAGATGAGGTTTTTTTTAGAGCTGTCATTGATTCATAGCAAAGCATATTGACGATACATTGATGTCAGATAATAAATATCAGCGATATGTCGATACATATTCTAATTTCTTTATATATTTCACTTTCATACCTGTTTAAATGTTTTTAGTAAAACAAATGTTCTGTTCATACAAATATGTTGTGTACCTTTTATAAATATCCTATGCATAATTTTTACCAAACCATTTTTAGTCATCACCAGTCTATGAAATGTGTCTATAATCTAACAACAGCTTAGTGTCAGACATGGCCATCAGCTTTTATATATGTTTTGGGTGAATTTTCATAATTTATAGACATTAAACAGGCAGGTGAAAATGCCCGATCGGGCTTATGTTATAAACAAGAACGATCAATGATCACATGTGTCACCTCATGATGGCCAATTTCATGTTGGGACAAGTTTTGTGACAGATGGAGAAGTGATTGGAGTAGTGGCGACATAAATTCCTGTAAAGTTAGGATGAAATTGCCCCAGTAGTTTATGAGGAGTAGTGGGGACAAGTTTTGTGACAGACAGACAGTGCACAACTAGACTTGGTACTGAACATTCCTGTAAAGTTTGGATAAAATTGCACCAGTAGGGCCATCCTTAAAAATATGTTTGTTTGCAGTAACGCGACCGACTCACAAAATTTGCCCCTACTCAAAATTTTTTTTCATGGTCTGGATAAAAATTTTTTTTTTGGAATCAGAAAATTATTCCTTGTGCTTTGTTTTCGTTTTTTTAAAGGTAAATAGAAGAAATAAAATGTAGGTCTCATTAAATTAGAATTCAGTTATCAATTTATTAATTGTTACCAGATTATCAAAGCATATATTGTCCAGCATTTTGAAATTCCATGTTTATTTGGGAGTACAGTTCAATAATAAAAAAAAAAAACAACCTACCTACCCACCTTGAAAATTCTGGGTCGGGTTACTGCAAACAAACATTTTTTTAAGGATGGCCTAGTTTATGAGGAGTAGTCACACAGAGAAAAAACCTTTTTATCAAAGGGCCATAACTCGGCCAAAAATCATTCAACCGGAAAACCCGTGCAATATGCGCAAGGATCAATCCTGTGAAGTTTCATTGAAATTGCATTAGTGGTATAAGAGAAGTAGTCCAGACAAACTTTAAAAATAAAAATTATTAAAGGGCCATAACTCTTACAAAAATCATTGAACCGGAAAATGCTGACAATATGCACAACTAGACTTGGTGCTGATAATTCCTGTAAAGATTGGATGAAATTGCACCAGTAGTTTATGAGGAGTAGTCCGGACAAGCTTTTGTGTATCTGGCAACACACAGAAAAAAACCCTTTTTATCAAAGGGCCATAACTCGGCCAAAAATCATTCAACCGGAAAACCCGTGCAATATGTGCAAGGACTTGAGCTACAGATCAATGTGTGGTATAAGAGAAGTAGTCCGGACAAACTTTAAAAATAAAAATTATTAAAGGGCCATAACTCTTACAAAAATCATTGAACCGGAAAATGCTGACAATATGCACAATTTTTTTAATGTTTTTATAACACATAATTTTTGAAGTCTTTAAAAAGTATGTTACATATGCAAAGTGTAAAACAAAATAGGTTAATTAACTTCTTAATACTCTAATTCATTGCGCCAACACCTGTCAGCATACATTTCATTCAGTTTTCAGAAAAAACTTCAAAATATAATGTTCAGTGTCAAAGAATTGTCAAAATATAAATGCCAGAAACAGAATATCGATTTGATCCAGATATATTGAATAAAGGTATTGGCGCAATAATCTAGAGCAAAATGAAGTTGTTGGACACATTTCTATTTAAAATTTTACATTACAATATAATTTTTATGAACTTCAAATATTTTGTTTCTAGAAAATGGGAAAAAGGGAAATAATTTTAAGAAAATAAAAGATAACCAAAATATTTTGATTTTTATTTGTATCGTATATCAATGCTTAATAAACAAAATAAGTGAGAAAGAAACATATCAATTATTTTTCTAGAAATATGATATTTTAAGTCTTAACCCAATCGGGCATTTTCACCAGCCTGTTAAAATAATCAAAATTATCATTTTTTTTAAAATGGGTATCGATTATTGATCAACAGAAAATTATAAACGATACATCAATATCATTTCTAATGATGACAGCTCTAGTTTTTTTTCCTCTGACAGTATAAATAGTGTCCTTTACTTACACTGGAAGGTTCTAACGTATTCACAATGTTGTTTGTTTGTTTGTTTGTTTGTTTCATTTTACGCCTTTTTCCAACAGTATTTCAGTCATATAGGCGGGTAGTTTCCTTCACAATGTTAAAAACCCGGAATACTAGGGTGAGACTTGATGAAAGCAAGCTACAGCTGCTGTGAACTGCTCTGGAGTAGGAGTAAGGCAACTCAATTGGGAACAGGACAACTAAATGGGAAGTAGGTGGTTCCAGTGATATCCGAAAACTACTCCACTTTTTCATATTTCAATGGAATTTTAGCTAAAAAATCTACACTTTCGATTAAATTAAAATATACCACGAATTTACCTCGCCAGTATGTGATAAATAATGACTCTGTAACCTGCTGTTCTTTTTAAAACGTTTATTGCAGCCAGGAAATGTACAAACATGTGTACCTACTCCATCTGCCATGGTACTGTAAAATTTACTAACGAATGAACATGTCCTACTATATTGTTGTCGTCTTCAACTAATATCATCCATCGAAATGCATCGCGATTTTTTAACTAAGAGTTATTGAACAGAACTTAACTAAACAAATCCTATTATTTACAAAGGGACCCAGTACAGTGTTGGGATAGTGTAAAAAGGTAAATCTAGAAAAAATATATACTGTACTGTATATATAATAATTATATAAGATAATATATATACAGTATATATATTTTTCTAGAATTACTTTTTTACACTATTCCAACACTGTGCTGGGTCCCTGTGATAGATATTATATAAACAGTATATACTTTTTTTCTAGAATTACTTTTTTACACTATCCAAACACTGTGCTGGATCCATGTGATCACTTATAATTGACTCATAAATTAAAGTGAGAGATGGGGTCATTGCCCAGTACTCGATCATAATCACTTTTCAGTGGAGCAATTGCTAATCATACACACACCCAAGTAGGATAGTCCTACATTTCTTAGTTTGATTTGGTTGGTTTATATGCAGTTTTTAACACATTTTTGGAAATATCTAAGCAGTTAGTCCACTTAAGTGGTGGATAAGTGATGTAAGTAAATAAATGTGTATTATTAGAATCCACTGGCACTAATAAAGTATTTAACATATTCAACTTAAAACCTAATACCAAATGTTCAAAAAGGGAAGATAATTAGGGAAACTGGATACCAGGGTTATGCGAGTTAATAATATTATAGCCTTAAAGTGATTAGTGTGCTTAATTATAAGCCATTGGTATAGATGTATCCCACTCGGCTAGTTGATGGTATCACAGCCCAGTAGCCACATTGAATTTACCAGAGCACAGTTCAGCCATCACATCATTCCTGGGCAGGTTGTCAACCAGTACTAGTTGCCTTTACTTTCGCAAGGAACTGATACCTTCAGTACAAGCCAGAGCAAAGGTACATTGGGAATGACCATAGACAGGATTTCATGATCAATCACAACCAAAGTGACATGCACATCTGGGAATCGAAGCCGATTCACAGTCCAACACTCTACCTATTGATTGAGTTAACCGGATTGCACTCCAACTTGGCAAAATAGGTGACCAACAGCTATATTCAAAGTCTAAAGAGGGAAATAATTGGGCTAAAATGGCTACTGTAATTATATACCTTGCCAAGATCATGGCCAATGAACTGGTTAGTGGGTATAGCAGATAAAACTTATATAACCAACTAACTTGCCTGTAAAGTTTATCCACATCAATTCTTTTCTCTCATAGACTTAATATTAATCAATAAATGTGCATTTTGTGAAGCCAAACCCAACTTGCCAGAATAGACCCTTCTTAATATTACCTCATACATATTCATAGATTTTTCAGAACGAGGCTAACAGGGCAAGCTTCGGTATCTGCTCTATGTAAACATATCATGAATACATGGTCGTAAGATTTTTCTACAGTGTCAGAGATCTTGATAATGTTCTGTTTGCTACATACTTGTTGAGAACTATATATTTAATATTACAAAAATCTCTTCTGGAGATAAATAAATCAACAAAGGGTTTAATTAACACAATGCACAGTGAAGGGTATACAAAACCTGATAAGTCGATTAAAGTTCATGATAATTCCAAGTAATTTCTAATATTCTTTGTCAGTATAAATATCAGGTTAACTCTTTGCAACTTAAATAGACATTATCTGTGTTATCAGTATTTTATTGCTAACCTAAACACATGTTGGTCAAGAGTGTATAAAGCAATTAACTGATAATAGATGTAAACAGTTGGATGCTGAATTCTGTACCATACTTCCCCTAAATTTAGCTATTGAAATAAAAAAGTTTAAAAAAGTTTTATTCACTTTGTATTTAAAAGTAAAAAAATCTGGATGACTCTCTAGAACATGTAGAAACTTGTTAATTTTACAGACAGCCTTATCAAATCAAAATAATATTTTGTTTAAACATGACACACCTGTCTTATACATTTCAATGGATTTTCAGTATCATAACACATGATGTTGTTTACAGCAATATAAAAATACATTTCATGCTAAGTAAGGAACGTAAAACTTATATATTATCAACTATTTAATTAATTACAGTATAAAATATTTAGTATATAACAAAATACAATCATTTGATTGCAAATGTCAGTCAAATCTTAAGACGTGAAGCTGAAGTATCATTAGATTATTGCATTGTCCAGTTAGTCCGACTTGATTATGTGGTCATATTGTTGGAACCCTCAACTGGCTGGTATATAACAAATCATTGGGGAACACAGCACTTCCAGAGGATGTTGCCTGGACTTACCAACCCCAAATATTCCATGTACGTAGGGGACTGAACATTCGCAGAAAACCTGTACAGGACATGGCAGTCGGAGGGTATTAGGAAAGGCAGCATCGAGTTTTAGCACTTCTTTTAACATTCCAAGAAATATTCTCTCAACAATATAATGCAATATGAGGACAAAATATTGAACGTAATTAACATGCTGACATATTCCCTGCAGCTGTACCAAAGCACAATGTTAAAAGCAAAGTAATGCGATGATTTCTTTTTAAGTTTTTATTAAATTCAAGGCGCAAAAGACTGAACGAATGGTCCTTTAAATTATGCTTAAAAACATTTTGTCAGTCAAGCTGATTGTTTTGCTTGCATCATAATAAATGCTCTTAATGTTTTTGCTGATGATTTATACATTGAAAACTGTAATGAATTTATAGTAAATTTTGTTGGAAATCCTGTATAACATTACAAAATATACAACTGTCATCATTTGAAAATATGTTTGTATCAAACGTTTAATATCACTGTTTGTTTTCTTCCTAAGTTTTCTGTAATTCTTCTTTGAACTGTTTGATAGTTTCTTTTTCATCTGTTATGCCACTGCCATGAAGAGATATTACAATTAAAGGCGATTCAAATACCAGTTGTCAATTTGTGTTCATGACTGTTACCAATGGAATTCCTGAAAAAATATATACATTTTATTTAGAAGTGGAAACAAGAATTATGACATTTCTAGAATATATCAATTTATATTTTAATTGCACATATATTTTTACAGGGGCTGAACTTTGTTTATGTTTAAGAAATGAAAGTTGAGTCTTGTGTATACCTTTCATCTGGTAATGAAATCTTCTTCTTTAGTGTTCATCTTACTGGTCTGCTCATTATTACTCTAGTCGAACCATCTACAGGGTACATCTATTCTCTTCAGACATATATGAATTTATGTCCATGATTGTTAATCTTATTGTGTGAAATGCTTCAATACGAGCAACTTTTGCAAAATATTGATCTGAAATAGTACATAAAATAACCGTGAAGCAATTATGTTTTAAATGTTATCATTATAAGTGTGATATTTTAAATGAAATTTATGAACAAAACATACATGTATAATTATGTTTATAATTTAATGAAACATTTAAATCAATGAGGAATCAGAGTAATTAATGTAAACAGTAATACATCTTCAGTAGCTTGGTTTGATAAGAAAAGAAAAATGGTATTTTACCTTGAAATGTTCTTTCATCCATCTTATTTTCACAATCCTCTCCTTTATTAAACTCACATCCTTAGGTATTTATGAAAATTAACAGTATAATCATATCTAGAATTGGAATAACAGAGTGGAATAAAAATGAGATTTCCCCAGCAAGTTTAACACACTAGGGCTTATCAGGTCAGACATTTGTTTACATTCATGACCTGTTAGCCTCTCTCTGGTGGTGGAATGTAAAGTATGCATATAATTTGAGAAAGGCCTATAGGTTATTGTTAACCATTACTGTTTTCAAAGTGCTAAAAAGAGAATTACATGGGTAAAAAGGGATGTCACAGTTATGTTACTTGCCAAAAACATGGACTTTGTACTGATAAGTGAGTAAATTATGAAGCCATTGGTAGACTATGTAACAAAAAAAATAATAAACAGATGAAAAATATATGTATATTTATTCATTTTAGTTTCTTTAATTTCAAATACATGTACATTGTATATTTTAAATGTATCACAGCTATTTTATACAAAATCAATTTACAATAATCAATGTGCTCTTACCTGGCATTTTGTAAAAGTTATGTGAACACATGTCATATTAATATATAAAAAGGTAACATGAATCAACAAAACATAATCAGTTTAATATATTAGAATAAAAATCATGAAATAATGGTGTAAATAACATCATGCTTAGAGTTGAACATTTTTCTATACTAATGAAATAACAAATTGACCATGTGGAGACTTACTCTTGTATAATGTTATATATTTTGATAAAAAAGCTATCTTTTTTAACACACTCAAAACTAATTTAAGATTTAATTCAACATCAGTACTAGAATCTTAAAGCATCAACATTAAATTTACTTGTTCAACCACTTAAGAAACAGTTTCTAGTTTTGAATGCATTATCACTAAATATTACAGCAATATAGGCAGTAGAGACCAATGAAATTAAATAAAGCAACATTGTATATAAATTCAAACATTAATTTGAGATTAAGAGAATAAATTGAAATATGCCAAGCTATTCTATCCTAACATCATTCTATTATCACAGGATAATGTATGCTGAGACCATTCTCTGTTGAACTATGATGAATGCTAATCATGGAAGAATGACCAAAATGAAACTTGAATTTTATAATTCGCTACAAAACAAAATTTACAAAACTATGATTTTGACATGATATTAGCATAAATACAGGAATAAAATTGTACATAACAAAGACAATTGTAGCACTTCTACGAACATGTATTAGTAAATGTTTTTGATTGGAGACTAATAACTCCAAATTTATCCCTGAACTAACAGTGCTACTGAAGACATCCCTTTTATAATCCATAAAGGGAGGTAAATCAGCTTGTTAAATCAGCTAAGTCTGGCATATCTTTCAACTCGAAGTCAAGTAACATCTGTCCGTATGCTTTACCCTGAAATATATATGTGAACATTTGAAATCAAAATTGAGTAAGGAACGTTCATAAAACATTTTGTCAATCTATTTTTTAACGTATCAATCAGTTGTACAAAAGTCCATATATTTTTCATCTCACTTTTTTTTTCAAATTTTTCTTACATATCCGACCACTGTCATCATTATTTTAAAACATGCTAATAATTTTATTTGACATAGAGCTGCTAGATGAGTCACATGTCCAAAATGATATCATTTTGGCACATTTTAATGAATGAACTGCATGCTTAGGATGGTGTCATTTTGCCGATATGAATAAAGAAAATAGTACATAATGAAATGACATTCATTTCCATGATAAATTAGTTTATCTAGGAAAACTATTTAAAATATTTTAGAATATGCAAGCAAAACACGTGTTTGCAATACAGATCAGAATATCCTTCCCTTCGAGTCCTACACTCACAAGCCATATGAAATTTCCAGCATGGGTAAAACTTATTTAAACACCAAATACTTTAAAAGGCTTCTGTGCATTATTTCAGGCACAAGTAGCATTCTTAGTAGAATCAACAGGTAATTTTACACGATAGTTCCAACATATGAAATGATTCAATGCCCATGACATTATAAGAACGTATATTAGTAGTGTTATGAAGCAAGTAAACCAGACACTCTTAATTAAAACTCAGTTACAGACTAAAATTATTGGTTTTAACACAATGTATGGTAAATGTATGCAGCAAAATGTCATTGAGACATATGTGAGATACACTGTCCATTTATTGGCTCAATCAAACTGTGCCTGCAATATTTTCAATTATGTTATTCCCGGCATTCTTTAGGGATTCCGTTTACCTCTATTTTACTGTAAGTGGTTATCAATCTCAAAAGCTAATGACCACTTATTCATCAATTTGGAAGGCAAAATCATCAGACAATTTAGAATTACAAGGTAAATATTAAAATGACAAAACTTACCTGTGGATCACTCCTTAAAGAGGCTATACCTCCACCCCCAAGACAGTTATGTAATACAAAGTTAAAGCCATTTATTCCTGGCACATCATATCTGGAAAAAAAGTTAATGAGAAAAGTTGGTAAATTATTAAAAGCACACATGAATAAGAAAATATAATAAATTCAAATGTAAATAGCAATTTTCTGAATGAATTTTTTATGGAACTGAAAAAGTATTATCTTTGGCACTCTCAACAAAAGTCATACGTACAAAATTATTACAGATTATATAACACTTTGTATGTTCCATAAATGGAGATTACTATATCTACACCTTAATGTAGAGATATAAACTTATTCAATCTACTTTTTCTATAATTTCAAACAAAAACTCCTTCGACTTTTCTATATAACTTACACAGAATTTGTCAGTCTAAGCTTACCCTTATAAATATATGTTGATAAAATATAACAAACCTCTGAACACGTTTCTGATCTGGATTATCAAACATGTGACTAAAATATTGAGCAACAGCTTCCTCTGTCAGGGCCTCTCTAAGGTAGGGTAGTAGTCCTGGCTCACGTGCAATCACACCTGTTCATATAATATATAAATCTCTATTCTAAATCATGATACTTTCATATCCAAACCACAGACTTATATCAATATCTTTAATTATTCAGGAGATAGAACTTGTATGTAAAACCTTAAACAGGAATTTTTAAAGTTTACAAAGGCTGTGTTTCAGTGACAATTTATGTTAGAATTATTGGCCTACAATTATGACCCTAAAACACATGGAAAATAATGAGTGAATATCATCATGTGATAATGTAAAGTGAAAATGCATGCACAATCTTAGCCAAGTGTCAAAAGGTGAGTAAAATTAACACAACCTGACTAGGATAATGGTCCACAGCTCTAACGCCTAAGCTATCCACCTTACACATTCTCTAAATTATCCCAATACATAGTCTCTGAATTTTGGTATTATCTTGTTCTTCAGATCTTTCTTTAAAACATGCAATATTCGAAAGCAGACTTCAAAATGTCAAAAGAATTAATGTATTGCTGAAAGTAATATGAATAAGAATAATTGTTAATTAATTACCTATGTTACAGTTGTTCCCCTTGTCTCCACTCCTGGTGTAGGCTACGTCCTCAAGTCTGTAAGTGTTGGTTCCCCGAGGTAGAGCTGACCCTGTACTACCTGTGCTAGGAAACCAGGTGTCAGCATGGGTTGTTGTTGGTACAGTGACTGGGTTAAATGTTTCTACATGCTCACCATTCATCTTTATGTCTATCTATAATCAGAAATGAATACAGACAATCTATAAATTATTACTGCTTTAACATTACATATATATTCTACATGTAACATTTGTTTGTTGGTTTATTTTTGGTTGGTTTTACGTCGCACCAACACAGTATAGGTCATATGGCAACTTTCCAGCTTTGGTGGAGGAAGACCTCAGATGCCCTTCCCTGCATTATTTCAGTCACGAACAAGCATCTGAGAAGAACCACCGCCGTTCAGTAAGCTAGATGAAATGTGATATGAACTGACAGTGGTGCGGAGCAAGTGGTTTACAATCAACAAACTTAACCACTACACCATGAACACTCTTATATTATTACACTTAAATTTTGTGCTTTAAAAACAAGTTGTGTGAGAACAAAAGGAGAGCAAATGCAATTATTATAGTTTATACCTTATAATTCTGTTTATCATGTAGGAACGAAAAAAGTTTCAGCACTGGAGATCTGAAATACAAGATTCATAATGAACTTTCCTAGCAAATTTCTTTCATATTCAAGAAAAGCATGCCTGACCTGTGTATTTCTTTCACAGTATAAACACATTTGAGACGTATCAAGCAATGTTACGAAATAACTGCAATTAACAAATGTCTTACAAATACTACAGTTAAGATACACCAAAACAACACATATTTCTTTAATCTTTACTAGTTTCGACTGTTGTCTTCATCAGAATAACGTACAAAGTATTTGACGTCACGTCCCTTACGACGCCAAAGTCAACGTGACAAATTTGCGCAAAAACGTGAATGTAAAGTAATTAACAAATAGATATGGATCAAAATGATACAGCGGGTATTAATAATAGAACTATATTTCTACAATATAAAGCAGAGAAAAATAAGAAATACAATTACTACTTGAACTATCTAACTTTACCCTACTGAAACTGGATGTAAATAGCCTTTGCCACCACTATACAGCCAGATCATCATCCACATACTAGCAGTCTCAGAAGGCTCTATACTGTTTCTATCTCATTTTTTGTATTTTGATATTGAAATCCCTTATATTTGAATGGTCTGTTCTGAAGTCAAGCAGGACAAATCTATCACACAAATTAAGCATCTAGTCACCTTAGTGCAGTAATGGGATAAGTCATTCTAAATTAAATAGGATTTAACAAGTTATTGCACTAAGGTGACAATATTAAAGTTTAAATAAGACAGACTTACTCTTACACCAATGCTTTATAATGTTTTGTTTATGACACAAGACTCTCTTCTGTTGTCTGCACAATTTCAAACTCAATTAACTATAGGAAATTCAAAATTTACATCATGGCAAGCTCATTACACATATTCACATGGGTAAATGTTAACACACTGTTTTGCAACTTTTATATAAATGACAAAATAAGAACATACACTTTAGGTCTCCCTCCAACAATGCCAGTTAGCCCAGGTGCTGTAAATGATTGAAAATAAAATAAGTAGCTACAAGTCACTGATACAGAATAATGTGTTTGAATACCAAATGTTTTAATAATTTTGACATCATAGTTCTACTAAATGTTGACAAAAACTTTAGAATGAAAGAATCACAAAGTTTTAAAGAATAGTAAAACAATTAAGTTCATAAATACTGAAGCTAATTATCAAAAAAAAAAAATTCACTTTTTTTAAATACATAATTGCAACTTCTCAAAATGCATCAAAACAAATTTTTTGAATTTTGTCCTCCTAAGAATTTCAATTTTAGTATAAAAGATTTTAAATCAACAGTGATATTGTTAAAATCATATGACAACTTTCCTGATGTTAAGTGATGCAACAAATCCTAAAATTCTACTGTTGCACATTTCAGATTCACTTAAATAAGCAAGCTGGAAATGCTCGCAATGACAAATGATGTAAGCAACCTTGACAACTATACCACATAAGCACCAAAACACAAAATGACCAATAAGGATAAAGAAAATGATTTTTATCATGAATAAATATTTAAAGTTAGACTCTTTATTTACCCATTCCAGTGCCAGCAGGCGCAATTTCTCGTGCCAGTATTTCCAACGGTTTCTTATCCTTGTGATGAACAGCGAGCCAGAGAACCGACTCGCGTGATCCCTACAACAACATAACCAAAATCTTCATAATACTGAACAAAATTTATAAACCTTCACTGCATATTTTGAGAATTATGTTTAAGCCGCTATGCAATATTATAATATAAGATTGCATGTTAATATATTTTATATCAAATCCCCTCCAGAAATTTCATTAATTTCCAACAATAGTTACCACAATTAAAGAATGAGGTTAAACATGACACCCTAAACACCAAAAGTTACACGATTAAGTTCAGCCAATGTTGCCCTTATTTGTTGATCTAAACCCTCATATATGTATACATTTACCTGAGGTAGATTTGTCATAGGACCATAATTATGTTCAGAACCTAGAATCTCTGTATGAACTTTGGTGAAATCATCCAGCTTCAGCTGCTTGAATATCTGTCTACATCTATAAAATTATAGCATCTTATCATCCCAAATATCATAAGAACTATGCTAATGTTTTTTTTACAAAATTGTATATAGTATATCCTCTCCAGAGCAGCTCTCTTTAAAGCTATGTAAACACCTTTATACAACAACAGCAGCATTATTTCCAAAGTCAGACTTAACAAAAATTTATCTTAACCTCTCTTAATTAAAAATCTCTCAGCAATGATGAAATTTTATCCCCAAAAAGAGTGTTTCAGAGATTAAACTGCAGTTATAATAATTCACACAATCAATTTCTATCCCCAAAAAGAGTGTTTCAGAGATTAAACTGCAGTTATAATAATTCACACAATCACTTTCTATCCCCAAAAAGAGTGTTTCAGAGATTAAACTGCAGTTATAATAATTCACACAATCAATTTCTATCCCCAAAAAGAGTGTTTCAGAGATTAAACTGCAGTTATAATAATTCACACAATCAATTTCTATCCCCAAAAAGAGTGTTTCAGAGATTAAACTGCAGTTATAATAATTCACACAATCAATTTCTATCCCCAAAAAGGGTGTTTCAGAGATTAAACTGCAGTTATAATAATTCACACAATCAATTTCTATTGGTTTCTCTGTAAGTTTTTTGTATAGTTGCCCAATATAACCTAAATATTATTTACACATACATTTGTAAAAGTATGGGACCAGTTATTCTCTTATGACTACTGCCAACAACTACTAGAAATAACTGATTAAAGCACCATAAAGCATAACTGATACTTACCTTTTTAAAATTTCTTCAGCTGTTCTGAGAGCCTTGTCTTTTGACCTTGGGCCTCCGACCCCACATACAGCTGTCAGCCTGTAACCTTCAGCATAGGTAGCACTCACCTACATCAAAATAAATCAAAATTCATCATCAACATGTATTGACATTAAACATTGACAAAATATGCTTAATTCATTATTACTTTTTAAGAACTTAGTTTCTTTTCAAATGATTCAAAATACAAAGGAAGACCTTTACAGCATCAAAACTTCTTACATTATTGTGCGTACACAAAAGATATTTCTTAACAAAATACCTAAATATCAGTATAAAATGTTCCATGATATAAATCAAAGTACTTAGAGTATTAATTAGGCAATTTCAATTTGTACACAATCATTTATTATTAACTTTAAATTTCTAAAAGGAAGTACCATTTCCTTAAAGGTGGAAAAGGTGAGAGTGAAATCATTTAAATTTTTCTACTAAAATTTTCTTTTTAATTCTATATTCTGACTTAAGCCCTTATATTTATTATTATTTTATTTGGTTTATATTTCTTTCTATAAAATGTCATGATTGATTGGTATAAAATTTCAATTAAATGCTACAAACGTTTGTCAAAATTTTATTTCTCAAATAAACAAGAGCTGTTGTTAGGACATTATGCTTGACTTAATTCACAGTGCTTGATAGTAAAACAAAAGACTGAATTATGTAGAATTTTTTAAGTTCAAAAAGAGCCATAATTCTGGCCAAATCAATGTATCAGTTATGGGCCTTAAACAGTGACCATCTATCAAGCTCTCAAACAATGAGTATATTTTCAACCCATTCCCTACAGTAGTTCTGGAGATACTTGTTCGCAAAAACTTAACCAAAGTGTGATGCCAGAACCTACGCTGATGCCTGAGTGTGTACAAAATTTCTATAGTCAAGCTTAAACGAGATTTCTTTGAACAAATGTTTGAAAGTTTTTGTTCCAAATTACTTAAATAACATCAAACTATGCAAATGGATATTGTTTATAGGTACATGTATATGCAAGAGGGCAAAACATTAGAACTTCAGTAAAGATGAAAATTTATAACTTGTCAAAAATACATGTAATTCTTTATTCAAAAGAGAGAACATTATAAATACACATAGAAATGTTTGCTGTATCATACATCTTTGTGTATAATGCATATATTCTATAACAACATGCTTACCTTATAATGAGGTGAAGGTTGAAGACCTTTTGCTCCTGACACAAACACTGCCTCACCTTCCTGTCCTGTTACAACACAATATCATATAAAGAAATAATTTCTAGAGAAAATATCTTAATCTTCCTTACTTATTGTTAATACTGAAGACTCTTCAATAATGCCTTTATTAGAAAAGAATATAAAATACAATTTTTGCGAGATGTTACAGTTGCCTGTGATAGAAATAACATAGCAATTAACAGCCAAGAATTTCATTTCTATCTAAAATGAATAAAAAAAACCCACTAAATTGGTGATTTATGTTCAGCATGAAAAACAAAATAGTTACAATAGTTACAATGCTGAAATACATATGCATGTACTTTTAAATTGTTTAGATATTCATCATTTATAGGCTTTCTAAAGAAAATACTAAACAATAATAAAAAATTAATCTTTAAAAACATTAAAGGCACATTATACATCAGAAACGAATAAATTTTCCTTTCTTTAGAGAGTACAAATATGTGTAATATAACATTTAACTACTGGTTTTAAAGCATATTACTGCCTATTATCGAAAGAAAGTTACTCTGAATGTGGAATTATTTGTCATAAATGTAGCAAAGTGTAAATAAAGTGGTATTTTGACTTCCATACAAAATACTAAATTACTATAACTATAGTAATTGCCAAACAACAACTGAAGCAACAGATGGTTCATGTAAATAACCAATGAGTATTTTTTTGGAACTATAACAGGACACCAAGTATGAAAGACTTTTGAGAAATAAAAATAAAATCATTTCTGGGGCATAATGGGCCTTTAATGTATAAAAAATATAAAGAAAGTCTTTTAAACACTACAACAAAGCTTTATTAATGTACCTTGTATTTCCTCTATTCTGACATTAGTAAAATCACAGACAACATCTGGTAGCTGGTACCTAGAGGGGTCACCAAGTTCATATAGTAGTTGCTCAGCAACTGTTGCCTTGGAAACAAGTCCGCCTGTTTTAGGAGGTTTGGTTACAACAAAATCACCATCAGAGGCACATTCTACTATAGGAAACCCTATGTTTGACCTGTAGTAGTGAAAGAAAAACAACAAGAAAGAAAGTTTGTTCTGCATGTAAAAAAAAAAACAGTCGAATTCCATGTCAGAGTTATTGGCCTTGGAAAGTGACCTCTTATTATGATTTCAGACATGTTTCCAGTTATCAGTGGTTAATAAGATAAGACATTGCACAAGAAGCTGCACTCAAAACTTTAAACAAAGTAATACCAAAATACTAGCTTCCACATCAGGTTGAATAGGTTAGCCCCACCATTCTTCACATAGTCGATGTGATATAGGAAGACCTAGGTTTTAATTACAGTAAAAAAATATCTCTACTATAGAAAGCATTGTAGCATCTCAGAAGAAGACTTACATGTATTTTCCTATAAATGTCTGTATTAACTAAGTGAGCCTGGGGTTGGAATTTTCTTTAGCTTACACAAGAAAAAACTTTAAAATTTTAACATACCAGCCTTTAACTTTATGCCAGTCTGTAAATATTCCACCAGTGACCTGTGCTCCACATTCTACAAGGTGGCCAGCCAAGCTATAAATATACTTATACAGTTATAACAAACTTACAAATAGGCTTAAATTTCAAACTTAAAATACAACAAATATTTGAAAACCTACATTAATTTTTTTAACAAAATACCTTTGCATTTTTTCGATTTCAGTCACACTTACTATAAGCAATAATGCCAGTTCCAGGTATAAGTCAACAAATAAAAAGTTTATATATTTTCAATATGCATGAAAAATGAAGCAATTGGTTCTATTTATAGAACATAATATTTGGTTTGAATAAGCCAGAGATAGGATCAAATTATTTTCATTTTACATGTTCCCTAAATTATTTCCTATATAATCTGCACACACATTTCATTCATATACATGTATTTCAATAATGTAAAGAAATACATGTATATCAAACTACAGGAAATATATTAAAAACTATAGTAAGTTGCTTTTCATTAAAATCTACTGTATCAGGCTAACTAAGTGACCATATAAGTACAAGTTTTGAAAATGGCTTACCGTTACATATGCCATCAAAAATCAAAATCAGAAGGGGAAAAAATTAAGAGATCAGGAACTCACCTTGCCTTTGCTAAATTATCAAAATCCTCCATATTCCACTTAAACTGTAACACAAGGTATATAAAGCTCTAAATATCACACCAGGCTTTAACTTAACAAATTTTCTACATTGTATCTTATAATCGAATTTTATCAAAATACTGCACATTAGAAACAACAGTTTTCAGTGACCAATGATATATTGTTTTTATAATATAATATCTATAAACATAAGTACTACAAATTTATTATTTATCAAACTATTTACAAGACAAATAAATTTTCATTTCAATTACAGACCTGTTTATTTAACATTTTAGATTATTTGTTAAAAGTACTTTTGACAAGTTTTATGACCACATATAACCACATATTAACAATTGTTTGTCATATAACCATTACCAAGCAGCTCTAGTTATATAACCTTACAACTGTTCAAACAAGACTATATAACCTCTCAAAAATCTTTATAACTACATGTAATTAGAAATACAGACTGATGATGAGTTGTTTTTATTTAGTACAATAATATCATTAGTATCTTGCCTAAATGGAAGAGTTTTGAATGTCTAATGAGTCATTTTCATACTAAACATTATAACATACATGTATCCCAACACATTCATGGTTTACAGTATTACATTTATGTAGTATATAAGTTTTACCTTATGAAGGAGAGGGGCTAACACTAGAGCACTATCTACACATCTTCCTGTCACAATAATATCTGCACCAAGATCCAATGCTCGTGAAATAGCACCTGCCCTTAACAACACAAATATATCAGAGTATATTAATACAATACAAAGTATTATGAAATGAAAGGGAATGTAACAGTATGTTTTATGTAGACAGGATAATAGTAGACAAAATAAGCAGATCTTTAGACTTAACTCTATGAATGCTTGCAGTATTAATTGCAGTATAATGGCAGCTGTGGTATAGATCAAGTTCAGCCTCATTGAACTTTAAGAATATGTAAGAGAAAAAAGTTACCCGAGATAAGCATTCATACTGGTTATAGTGTTTGGCATGGCTATCCCACTGTTCATTTCAGTTATACCAGAATTCAGCAACTCTTGCATCTAAGAAAATACAAGAAAAATTTATATATTGATATCCCTGCAGAATAAGTTATTTTCTATCAATTCAGGAAAATAACTCCAAAAACACCAAGTTCTTCAGTTAAAGAGTCACCATACAGAGCAATTTATAAACTTGACTTTAATATGGTACATGTACATGTAATCAATTTAATCAGAATCTATAAATATTAACCACTTACTGACCTGTGACATGAGGTCATCTCCAGTTACCACAGCAATGTTGAGATCAACACCAGCTGCTTCACAAACAGCTTTCAGGGCTGCTGCACAAGCTTCAGGGTTCACACCTCCTGCATTACTTATCACTTTTACACCTTTAAAGGGAGACACAGGCAAAATTTTCATTTTTTCTTTTTGAATTTTTCATTCATTATTCAGTCACAGGAACAGGTCTTTTCCAATTATAAAGTATTAAATGATGGTTTTCTAACCTGACCCACGCGGGCCAAGTTAGAGCGTTTAGATTTTAAAATAGTTGTCACAGTGAACTTTTGAAACGTTAATGAACATGTCAAATGAATTGTTTAGGCTTGTTTCAATCATTCAATATCCACTGTTATCTGTTATTTAACTTCAAGGGTGTGTTCAAGTCACATGATATGACTTGTTTTACAACTAGAACTATCGCTGAATGCGATTCATACCCCCACCAATGTCCTTGACAGAAGACAACTTGGAAAGGTGGTTAAGGGAATAACTTAAGTGACACAAATACATAAAAAGAAATTATCTCTGGTGAAAAAAAGACATAATTGTACAGGTTATAGTAAAAATATCTATTATCAAATCATGTTCGAAACAGTTACAAATAACCTTTCATTTTCCCAATATACTAAACTTTTTATAAGTCAATTTTTGACCTTCAAGTGTGGCCTTGACCTTCAGCTGACACAAGGGTAAGATGGGTTCTGCACATCGCCCAATTGGAGTGAACATTTGAGTAAAGTTTGAAGAAAATCCTTCCATTAGTATAGAATTTATAGAGCGGACACAACATATTGTCTAGTATTGATTGTATGTAAATTTAAAGAAATCCAATACAGAGTTATGAAACTTGACCTGCATATCGTAATTGTGACACCTCATATATCTTTTAAGTTTCAAGCAAATACCTATGCTAGTTTCCGAAATATTCAAGAACATGTTTTAATCTAAGAACATTTTCTAAGTCAATTTTTGACCTTCAAGTCTGACCTTGACCTTTAGCCTGCACAAAGGTGACATGGATTCTGCACATAACCTTGTTTAAGTGAACATTTGAGAAAAGTTTGAAGAAAATTCTTCCATTAGTATAGGATTTATAGAGCGGACACAACATATTGTCTAATATGTGATTGTATGTATATTTGAAGATTAAAAAGGGGCATAACTTTGTTAAAATGCAATACAGAGTTATGAAACTTGACCAGCATATCTTAATTGTGACACTTCATTTATATTTTAAGTTTCAAGCAAATACCTTTCCTAGATTCAGAAATATTCAGATATATGTTAAAATTAAAGAACATTTTCTAGGTCAATTTTTGACCTTCAAGTGTGACCTTGACCTTAAGCCGGCAAAAGAGTGACATGGGTTCTGCACATAACCTTGTTGAGGTGAACATTTGAGCCAAGTTTGAAGAAAATCTTTCAATAAGTGTAGGACTTACAGAGCGGACACGACATACTGTGTAATATTTGATTGTTTGATATTTGACCTTCAATTGTGACCTTGACCTTGAGCTGACAGATGGGCAACATGGGTTCTGCACATCCCATTGTTGAAATGAACATTTGAGCCAAGTTTGAAGAAAATCTTTCAATTAGTGTAGGACTTACAGAGCGGACACGACATATTGTGTAAAAATTGATTGTTTGACATTTGACCTTCAATTGTGACCTTGACCTTAAAATGACACATGGGCAACATAAGTTCTGCACATCCCCTTGTTGAGGTGAACATTTTAGCCAAGTTTGAAGAAAATCTTTCAATTATTGTAGGACCTACAGAACAGACACGACATACAGTCTAATATATGATTGTGTTTGATATTTGACCTTCAATTGTGACTTGACCTTGAGCTGACACATGGGCAACATGGGTTCTGCACATCCCCTTGCTGAGGTGAACATTTGAGCCAAGTTTGAAGAAAATCCTTCAAGTGGTATAGGAGTTATAGAGCGGACACGAAAATGGAGACGGACGGACGGACCGACGGACCGACCGACGCGACAAAGGGAATCCATTATAGCCCCCCCCCCCCCACAATTTTGTGGTGGGGGTATAATTACTCGGTGATTCTGCCGGCTTCTGAATTGCGTTCAACAAATATAAATATATTTACGCTTCAAACCCAAAATATATAGAATTTATTACAGAAATTCATGCTGGGATTTTAAACAATGTCATTTTAGCGTGATTTGAGTTCATAAGATTATTTAAATATTTTTGTAATAAATTTGCCTGAGTATCCCTTTAACAATAAAACTACAACTAGAGACACTATTTTCAGTACAGGCTAGCATGTCATTTAATTTGCTACAGGTGAAATATTTCATTATACATATATATTTTATTTCTTTTATCACTCTACCAAGTTGAATATATCCAATTTATAGTACTGATAAGATGCTGTTTGTTTTTTTTTTTGGTTTTACACCATACTCACACAGTATATGGTGACATTCCAGCTTTACTAGGATTCGAACCCACAGATGTGAAAGGTAAGTGGTTTGAAGTCAACAATCTTAACCACTTGGCTATGGACGCCCCTAATTTTATTCTGCTTAAACTTTATCACATACAAGTGAAATCAAAATTACATTGATTAATTAAATCACTATGGTAATATCTTAAATACAAAATATATATCTGAAAGCTTATTAATAATAATATACTCACCCTTTTTCTTGATATCTTTAATATGTGGTGCCATGGCAACCTGAACAAAATCAGGGGCAAATCCTCCAGCGCCCTAAAATAAGCATAATTGTAAATATGAGGTCTATAATACATATATTGTTTTTATAAATATAAAATTGCCAATGAAATTTGATTAAAAAAGTCATGAATGAAAATATATATATTTTCAAAATATTACAAAATCAACTTTACCAAAAATGTATTATGCCACAAGCGATTATTGCACGGTGATACTGTGTAGAGGGTTGTAAACACCTATTTTCCATTTTTATTTTAGAATAAACCAATTGGAATCGATAAAAGCCGTGATTACAGGCAATGATTAAGATATTTTGTAGGACAATATGGTCATTTCGATTAAACAGTAAAAAATATCGTAAACGTTTAGGAATGAAAATCAAAACGAATCTGTTTAAACGTGTAATCATGGGGAAGAGTTAGACATGACAAGAACTTTGAATTTCTCCATCTTTCTTAATCTAATTAATACTTAATCTTAGTTGTTTTCAGAAGACTGTTCACCCTACCAAAAAAAGTTGTCTTGCACTTGTACAACTTAATTTTGGTTTCATCAAATCAAATTATCACAATAACCATATTTATTGAGAATAAAAGATCAGAATAAAAAGTGTTGTTTAAGTCATATAAATATTCTCAATTCAAATTTCAAAAAATGAACATAAATGGCACAATAATGAAGAGTTGACACTGGATATAATGATAACAAATTACATTTGTTTTTTTCTTTACAGCAGCTAGTAGTGACATCGTAATTTCTGACAGGTAGTCAAACACCAAATAATCCAGTTTCCCCATATGAATTAACTGTGGTGCTGAAATAAATTTATAAAATTTTACAGAATAAATCTTCCATATGATGAAGGTAATACAGGTGTAAAGAAGGAATATTAGCTACTATCCCTGTTTCTTATATTACCTGGGAATCTCATGGCATTTCTAAAATCAATGGAATTACAAATATACTAGTATATAGTTTATCTGTCAGCAAATTAAAAAGCTATTTGTTAGTTGTTTTTTATTTGTGTCATCTTTAGACTGTCTTTGATATAATGTTTAAATGTTGAACTACATTAAAAGTTTTGTTTGTAAGTTATCTCGTCTTTCATGCAATGTTTCAACTTCCTATCATCCATTTCTGTCAAACCCCTCACAAGTACTTTACCACTAACAAAGGGTAAATATAAATCAAAAGAAGATTTGCACAAAAAAAGTATGTACATTAAAATAAATAGTGGGAAATGAAAAAAAATATACTAGAGCTGTTCAAGAGGTAAACTGTTCATGAAAATAAGATGAATTTGTAGAAAAGTAGTTTTTCTTCATTAACATGCAATGTTGGTTTCATACAGGGAAGTCAAAGGCCGGGTCTGTGAAGCCTGACAATAGAATAATAGACTACATACAAGCGTATATTGAAAAGGAAATCAAATAAAACAAGAAGGCCATGATGGCCCTGAAATCGCTCACCTGTATATAGGCCCCTGGGCCAAGGCCAATTGTAAACCAGGGCCTTTTATTTGAACAAACTTGGTAGACACCAATTAGAAGGTGTTTTATGATAAATATCTAAGCTCTAGCTCTTTGGGGTTTTTATAAGAAGATTTTTTAAAGTTTTTACTATATACCATATAGGGAAAAACAATGACACCTCCTGGGAGGGGCCAATTTTGACCCCAGGGCTTTTATTTGAACAAACTTGGTAGACACTCTCTAAAAGATATTTCATGCTTAGCATCTAAACTCTAGCTCTAAGAGTATTTTTAAGTTTTTACTATACACATATAAGAAAAATCAATGACCCCTGAGGCTGGGCCAACTTTAACCCAAGGGCCCTTATTTGAACAAACTTGGTAGACACCCATTAGAAGATGTTTCGTGCAAAATATTTTAGCTCTAGCTCTTTGAGGTTTTTAAAAGAATATCTATACACATAAAGGGAAAAAAATGACCCCCTGGGGTGGGCAGGGCCAAAAAAACCCTTCTTTGTAGAGGCTGAATATAGGCTACTTCCCCAACCAAACTAGCCTCTTTTTTTCCCCAGTTTGGTTCTCGAAATTCCCCAGTCTTTTGAAATTTCCCATAGAATTTAGAATAAAGTTAAATGACGGTGTTGAATTAAGGTCTTTTACTGCCTTATTTGTATTTCCCAGTGCTTTTTGCTTTTCTATTTTGAAGACCTTGTTAAAAATTTGTGTTAAATTTGAGACCCTTTTTCCCAAAGTATGCCAAAATCACGCATATTTTCCCCAAGAAAAAGGCTGAGGCCCCTTCCCCAAAAATGGTGTTTTGGCCCTGGTGGGGCCAATTTTAACCCTAGGGCTTTTATTTGAACAAACTTGGTAGACACCCATTAGAAGATGTTTCATGCTTAATATCTAAGCTGTAGCTATTTTGTTTTTTTAAAAAGAATTTTTTTTAAGTTTTTACTATATACAAATAATATAGAAATCAATGACCCCCTAGGGCTGGGCCAATTTTGACCCCAGGGCATTTACTTGAACAAACTTGGTAGACACTGACTAGATGATGTTTCATACCAAATATTTAAGCTCTAGCTCTTTGGTTTATTAAAAGAAGATATTTTAAGTTTTTTCATTTGGTTGCCATGGCAACCAGAGTTCTGCTTGGAATTAAATTCTTTGAACAATTTTCAAAATTGACTACCAAAGGAACATTCCTGTGAAGTTTGAATGAAATTATAGGTTTATGAGGAGATGTAGTTTAAAGTAGTAGTAAAAGTTTACGGGAGGACGCTGGATGAAAAGTGATCACAAAAGCTCACCATGTCACTTTGTGACAGGCGAGCTAAAAAAAACAATTAAAAAATATATAAATTTCTATACCTATTGCCCATTTGGTGAAATTTTCAGTATTATATCATTTTCAATGTAACTCAATGATAATAGGCAAGGTATTCCGACAACGGAACAATCACAACTTTTCGGCTTAATAATAATCATTGGGATATTCCGAGTGAAAAGGAAAACGGGGAATGAAATATCAAATGACACATTTAAAACGGAGAATGTAAAATAAAAAAAGACCAATTATTTAAATCCACTTTTCTGTTTTGCCTAATTTCATATTCATGACATCAATTACTTATGTCATTGAGTTTACCATAAAAAAATTTTTCTTTAAGTTATTTCCCTTTTTATAAAAAATAAAGGAATATAGTCTGTAAGATTATCTCCCTTAGCTATGTAAACAAACCTGCAACCATTGAATCACCCCAAAATCCGGATGCACAACCAATGCGCACTGTGTCACCCTTGAGAACGTTTCCATAACTATTTGATCTCTTTGAAATCGCAGTATACAACGCTGGTCTGTGCAAAATAATCGACTTCTGTGAAGAAATAACTCGGTGAACTACTCTGTGTGCTATGGAGGCCACCATTTTGGACATCCCACAAGGTTTTACGCATGCGTGGCAGTCACATGACTACTAATCATCATTCTGACAAAATGGAGGACGGTTAGACAAATCTGTCAAAGAAATGTCAATAGTTTTGGTATTTTAGCTTTCAAGTTGAAATCGTAAATAGTATATATCTTGCGATTACGTTAAAATAATCAGATTCTTGCAATTATGGCAACCTCACCTATGTCAGAAGTAGTTTACGCCAGGGAAGAGGGACATGTCATGTCAGACAAAGTTTCCCAGTTGGCTTCCTCAGTTTATTCTGAATTTGAAAAGATGATTAAGAAATACGATGAAGATGTTGTTAAAGAACTCATGCCTCTGGTCGTTGGTATACTTGAAAGTCTAGATCTTGCGTACTCAGAGAAACAAGAGGTAGATGTTGAAATTGAGTTGTTGAAAGAGGATAATGAACAACTTTTGACACAGTATGAACGTGAAAAACAACTTCGAAAATCATTAGATCAGGTAATGACTGAAGGCATTTGCTTGCAAATGTGTATGTAATTAATAATATGAAAACACACAAAGCCTATGAATGAGAAGTAGTTAATTTATCTATTTTAAAGGTGTCTTTTGGCACAGATATATAAATAATGGATAGGAAACTCAGAAAATAGACGATTTTCGATTCAGACCCACATTCCTTAGCGCGCTTCGGTGATAATCGAGCTTTCCCACTAGTCTCCGGTTTTTATGCTATCGTTAAGCTTACATTGCCAACATGGATTTTCATCGGAGAAATATTTGTGTGGAAAAGTGTGTTTTGTACGTTTTAGAATAGATAACTATTGCTTCTTATGTTAGAAGAAAATGTTTAAGTCTTTTTTGTTGATGTTCCTCCGGGAATTCAATATGGCAGTATTTTGGCTACTTTTACCCAGGATGCATTAAATCTCGCGACATATGATAACTTGCGGGAACCCAATTCCGCCGATACTGATTTTAACTGTGTGACATCACAGTTTCTGTTCCATCTTATATTTAGCTCCATGCTTTCGGAGTTCATTTTTCCATTTTAAAGGTGTCTTTCGGTATTTTATGCACCACTTCTGTTTTCACTCAGAATACTTGATGATTATTATTAAACCGAAAAGTTATGATTGTTTGTTATCCGAATACCCCGCCTATTATCATTGAGCTACATTAAAAATGGTGGTGCCTCACTAGAACTGACACTGAAAATTTCATTGATATGTATACCGTATGGAATTCTATATATATTCTTATTTTTTTTTATTTGATATTCTTTTAAATATGTGTAGTCGATAGCTGGGCAAGCCAAAGCCCTGGCCCACTTCACAGTCCCGGCCTTTGACTTCCCCGTATTAAACTTGAAATGTATGAAAAGTAGCTTAGAGTCAGTGTACCCAATTCTGCACAGGACCTGGTTCCGCACACTTTCATTTTCTCTTGAAAATTTAAATGAATTTACTCAGTTTTTGTTTGTGTTTCACTGAACTGGAATGTTTTCAACAGGATATGACATCATCTGGGATCTTGCACCCCAGCCTCTCGCTGGAGAGTGCAGACGAATATCATCAATATGTAAATAAATGTACGTGGCTGTGTAGGTCACACATAAAACATCTTATTCAGCAAGTAAACCATGCTAATTTCTATTTAGATATTAAGATTATTATAAAAGATATATATTTGAAAAGAAATATTAAGATTATTATAAAAGATATATATTTGAAAAGAAATATATGTTTTTGTCATGACAAGTTTGCTGTTAGTCATGAAGTTGAAATATATGCCCATTAATTAAATTCTCCCAACTACCAAATGTCAAGTCATTCCACTTTGATTCTTTTTTTGAAATAATACCAAACTCTTAATCAAACAGATCATAACTAAATAGATAAAAAACTTTCAATAACTTTTTATGTCTGTGTTTACTTACATGCAAGTTGAAAAAAAGTATGTTTCCTTGCTGTTAAATGTTTTCTGTGTGCTACTATGCTTGGAAATAAATGTTTGTAGACTGTAGTAAGAATGTGCATTAAATTAATTTGAAGTCCTGAAAATTTGCAAAAAAATTATTTTATCTGGACATAAAGATGCTTAATAATGTAAAACATTCCTGTTGCTTGAAATCAAGCGCGCCTAGAAGTATGACCTAGTTTTGGTCATCAGTTTTAATGGGCTAAGGATGTAATTTTCAAAATAATATCAACTATAAGAAGAATTTTGAGCTATAAACTAATTTTCTTGTTTTTTTTTCCTTTAAAAAGTGTACGACAATGACTATGAAGTTACATATGTAATGTTTTCTTTTTAATTTACAAGTCAATTTGTGTCAGAGGAAATGACTGGCATAGTGTGGTTCAGAAATTAGAAGAAAAATTTTTTTAGCTTGGGCAGTAAAAGTGTTTATTATTTCAGTTGTAAGCTTGAACTTCTGCTATGTTTAATTAGTCACAAATGATAGAAAATAATTTGTATGAATTGAGTTAAATTAATAAATATATCTGACAAAGCATAAATTTATAACCAGTTAACTTTAATGTACAAAAAACCTTAAACATATATGGTTCAATTTTGATTTATTTATTTATCTAAAGTACCTTGATGACAAATAATTCTTGAATTATTAATTAAATTCAATAATTTTATGAAATCGTCAATTGTCTTAGAAGGCTGAAATATTAAAACATTGTTAAAGAAATATATTTTACAAAAATTCAATCTGTCTGGTGCAGAAGCTCCACCTAATTAATGAGTTTACATGCTTTGCTTATTATAAGTTTTGATAACTATAGAATGCCTGGCATCCATCTGTTTTTCATCTCTCTACCATACAGCTTTATTTACCCCTTAACATAATTTATCCAGTCTTAGTTAAAGCATTTTTGATGTTCTTTTAAATCTCTTTTTTATTGTCAAAGTCATGTTTTGAAAAATATTAGTTACGATTATGCAATTTCATGGTTGCAACGGAAAAAATTATCTTCTGGAAAAAAAACCTTTACTGAGGCTGAGAAACATTGCCTTAATGTGCATTCACGAAACTCTCCAAGTGTTTAATTAGCAAATATGATTAGAACTGTGCATATTAACCATTTTTGATCAAAAATATGTCAAGAATGAAATGCCAAAAGTCTTTACTTCATTGACAATAGATTGTTAAAACATGAAACAATTACAATAATTTTGTAAGCCTCCGTATAATGTTTTGTTGTATTTGTGTGATAAGTAGTTTGAATATGGTTAAGTTGATGAGAGACAGAAGCTGTATGATAGATGTGTAGTATGATGTTATCATGCTGTGATCTAGCTTGTTGAGTTAATACACTCATTCATTAGTATCCTGTTGTTACTATATCATTGGTATGTCATTTAATCATTACATCTACAGGGGCCAACTGAATACACACACTGTGTTTTACCACTTGACTCATATTACATTATTATATACAATAACCATACCTTTTTAATGCTTATATATTGATATGTACATGTTTTACATTTTAGCAATTATTGCTATTTCAGTATGCTTTCATCAGTTAATTTTTGTTGTTTAAAGACAATTTTTTTATTTTTTGAAAAGCTGAATTACAATGCAATGCATTTAGTTACTTTTTAGCTCGACTATTCGATAAGAATAAGTAGAGCTATTGTAGTCACCCGAGCGTCGGCGTCTGCGTCGGCGTAACCACTTATGTTAAAGTTTTTGTAATAGTTTTAATATTTTCAAAGTCCATTGACATATGGCTTTGAAACTTTGCACACTTGTTCACCATCATTACCCCAACCTGTAAACAGGAGGAGGTAACTCTATCAAGCATTTTGACAGAATTATGCCCCTTTTTCGACTTAGAATTTACGTTAAAGTTTTTGTAATAGTTCAAATATTTTCAAAGTCCATTGACATATGGCTTTGAAACTTTGCACACTTGTTCACCATCATTACCCCAGCCTGTAAACAGGAGGAGGTAACTCTATCAAGCATTTTGACAGAATTATGCCCCTTTTTAGCTCGACTATTCGATAAGAATAAGTAGAGCTATTGCAGTCACCCGAGCGTCGGCGTAACCACTTATGTTAAAGTTTTTGTAATAGTTCAAATATTTTCAAAGTCCATTGACATATGGCTTTGAAACTGTGCACACTTGTTCACCATCATGACCCCAACCTGTAGACAGGAGGAGGTAACTCTATCAAGCATTTTGACAGAATTATGCCCCTTTTTCGACTTAGAATTTACGTTAAAGTTTTTGTAATAGTTCAAATATTTTCAAAGTCCATTGACATATGGCTTTGAAACTTTGCACACTTGTTCACCATCATGACCCCAACCTGTAGACAGGAGGAGGTAACTCTATCAAGCATTTTGACAGAATTATGCCCCTTTTTCGACTTAGAATTTAAGTTAAAATTTTTGTAATAGTTCAAATATTTTCAAAGTCCATTGATATATGGCTTTGAAACTTTGCACACTTGTTCACCATCATGACCCCAACCTGTAAACAGGAGGAGGTAACTGTATCAGGCATTTTTTTTACTATCAAGCACGAAGAATAGTCGAGCGTTGCTGTCCTACCGACAGCTCTTGTTCGACTTAGAATTTACGTTAAAGTTTTTGAAATAGTTCAAATATTTTCAAAGTCCATTGACATATGGCTTTGAAACTTTGCACACTTGTTTATAATCATTACCCCAACCTGTAAACAGGAGGAGGTAACTGTATCAAGCATTTTGACAGAATTATGCCCCTTTTTCAACTTAGAATTTACGTTAAAGTTTTTGTATTAGTTCAAATATTTTCAAAGTCCATTGACATATGGCTTTGAAACTTTGCACACTTGTTCACCATCATTTCCCCAACCTGTAAACAGGAGGAGATAACTGTATCAAGCATTTTTTTTACTATCAAGCACTAAGAATAGTCGAGCGTTGCTGTCCTACCGACAGCTCTTGTTCATCTTACACAGTCATTCAGTCACACTTTTTGGAAATTTTAATTTAAAAATGTTTATGTCTAAGATCTGTAAGTGAATTAAATAGTATAATTCAATGATCCATTGAGCCTGTGAAATAGGTAAAATCCTTAATATAATATTTATTTGGTATATTGTATCTTATCTTTTTTGACCTTACCAATATACCAATATTAACCTATGTTAGTTGAAGGAATTTTATTGTTTAAATACTGTAGACAAAATGCCGGCAGTATGGAGTCCAGACAGATTGCACAAAAAGTGCTGACTGTCAGGTTCTACACTGGTGACATAGGCCTGGTGTCATGATTATACCATATCATCAATCATTACATTTATTCATATTAATTATTCTTTAAAGGTTATTTACTGCATTATATGTATATTCTTTGTTAAAATTGAACAGGTACCCTGCCAATCTTGCAAGACAGTTAGTATTTATGGTATATGTGTACATATACATGTAACAAAAACAACAACAACTAATATATGTATATATAAAAAAGCATTATTTCAGTGGGAATTATAGGTTAAATTTATTGGTAATATAAAATGAATTTTATTATTCTCTCTCATCTTTAATTGCACAATATCCCATTCTATACAACCCTTATAGTACATTAAAATTCCTAAAGTCTGTAATTTTAACAAAATGTAATGAAAAATAACAAAGTTGTATGTAACAGTGAGTGTTTAACTGGTAACTTGTTAGTTAACTTTTGTCAGTTATTTGTGATTGTCATATTTCTAAGATAATATTAATTTTGATGGAAACCTATTACAATTGGCATGAACAAATGTCCGATACTGACAATGTGGCCGTCACTGTTAAATACAGTTTGATTTCATATAATATTTTGCATGCTCCCTAACAAATAGAAATAAGAAATTGAATATACTGTAGTATAATCTTTCTATCTTGTAGTCAAAAATGGCTATAATATTTTTATAAATGAATATGAAATTAATGTATCTATACAACAGGGTCGGCAAATCTGATTATGACTAACTTGTCTGTTTTATCTGAGGCATTTCTTTTCTTGTCTGTATGATGATTTATGATGTAAATTCTTGAACAAAGTTCACTTGTCTGTTAGGACTGTGACAGTGGGACAACCTGGGCAATACAAACAATTGATTTTGCCGCCCCTTTGATAATACAAGGTTTACTTTTCTTGTGTAATATTCTCAAAGAAAAGGTTGATGTCATTATATCCTTGAATGACAAAGATGAAACAATCAATAGTACATTGTAGGTCAAAGGTCAATTTTAAAGTTTTGCAAGCTTTTAAAACATTGACGAAAAATAAAACATAATATACATGTATATGCATGTTTATATATAATGGAATATAAATGATCTTTAATACTAGTTTTACAATAAAAGATGTAATAAAATGTTAAGTTTATTTGTTCTTGACATTTCCACAATGACTTCCTAATTTAAATCGTGAATATTTTCATCATTTAATAATATTACTTCTTCAATTAGCTTATCTTACTGTATCGTTCTGCTCCAAATGACATTCATTTAAAAGTTTGTAGGTTCAGTAAAACAGACAAAATATTGTACAGTTAGCATTTAAGTTAACAAAAGAGATGCAACCATCCTGTATAACTTGATTTTTTATTATTCAGAAATACCTTGAGCTGGAGGATGAGACAGAAGAATACAAGAAAAATTCGGAGGAGAAAGTCGAGAGCCTTGAATCTATAGTGAGAATGCTGGAATTAAAACATAAAAATGCTACTGATCATTGTAAGTTGTCTTCCTGTAAATTCATTTCATTTATATACCATCCTTTACCTTCAAACCACTTGCCCCTCACCGCTGTGGGTTCAAATCCCGACAGGGACTTTGGATTCTTTCATGTGAAGAAGCTATCCAGGTAGCTTACGGAACGTTGGTGGTTCTACTCAGGTGCCCGTTCATGCCTGAAATAATGCAAGGAAGGACACCTGAGGTCTTCCTCCACCAGTAAAGCTGGATTGTCACCAAATGACATATACTGTGTTGGTGTGATGTAAAACCCAAACGAAACAAACCATCCTTTACCAAAATAGTATATGTATAAATGCAAGCTTTAAAAAGTTTGTATGTGTATTTGGATTTTTTTCACTCATAATAATACTATGATTAAAGCTGCACTTTTTAACTTGTTTCAGTAATTATTAGCGATTTGTTACAACACTTGTCTGTGACAATTGACCAGCCATTTATCACAACTGACTTGTATGGAATATTTTAATTCTGGTACTGAGTGATATTGGTTAAAGATCTATATTTCAAACTATCTAAACTATTGTTGAAAACAGATGGTTTCAACCATTTGGCAGATAGTTGACACAAGATTGAAATATTTAATTTTGTGTTTTACAGTAAACCGACTGGAAGAGAAGGAAGCAGATTCTAAGAAAGAATACAATAAAGTACATGAACGTTATACTGAGGTATGATTGATATTCAAATGGTAAAATAGATAAGAGTTTTAACTTTCAATTATTGCACTTGCCTGTTTTAAGGATGAATGATACAAATTGTTCTTTATATATTAAACAGTTGACTGATCTATGGGAGATTCTGGTTTCTACCCAGGTGTATGTTGTTGTATTGGTTGTTAAAAGGATTTGATGTGTCCTAAAAATGATCAGCTTCAGTTAGTGCAGTAATTGGAGTATAGGTATCTAATACCTATTCTATCCAGTTAAAGCACTGTACTGCATTTAGTATTGGATTTAACCCATTTACACTTCAAAGAAAACTATTCTCAGCTATGATACAAAAACAGTTGCACACTTAGTTAATATTTTAGTTACAAAGAAAATGTGTATAAGTCCATTAAACGTATTTGTTTACAGTTATTGCAATACAATATGGTATGTTTGTTTTTGGTTAATTTACTCGCCTCTGGCTTGTTCATATTACTGTTAAATATACTTTTGTTACAGTTGATGGACTACTATATTTATGTTACTGTTTATCATAATTGTGTTAAAGTTAATGCATACCAACAATTGAAAATGTTATATTTATGTTATTATTTATGTACATCTATACTGAACATTTGGTTATATGTATATGCTGGAAACTCACATTTGAGCTCTTATTTTAACATTTCACCTGCTAAATTTCTTAAATTGTCTATTCCAGCTTCCATTTTTATAACTGTCCAGTATCAATTTTTAAAATGAAATGTTAGCCAGCAGTGTTGAACCTGGTCAATTAGCACTGATGTGCAGGCTGGCCTGACTCTGTACTGGTTGCAAAGGTTTATCACTTTGGCTCAAGCAGGCTTAGGGTTAACATTAATGCTTACTTGTAACACACGTGTTATTGACTGTTACTGCTTACAAGGAAGTTAAAATTTTTTGTCACTTTTACCATTTTACTTAGTGAGATATTGTATTGTGATATAGTAATGCACGGAGGGCCATCTCAGGTCTTCTGCCACCAGTAAAGCTGGAAAGTCGTCAGAATATTATGACATCTACGCAAAGATAAAAACACAACAAAAAGTAAAGTTTATGTATACACCTGTGTTATGTTTGTGTTACAGCTGATGCGTACCCACATGGACTACATGGAGAGAGCCAAGATGTTGATGGGAAGTGATCGCATTGCAGAAATGGCCAACAGTCCAAGATCTAGGTCGGTATTTCACAATCCATGCTTGTTGAACACTAATATTTTGCTTACAGTAGAATATATATATTATTCAATTTCTTGTCGGAGAAACCAACAACTTGTCTTTTAATTGATATGTTTTAAATGGCATTTAAAAATATTCCAATCTGATGTCTCGGTATTAAACCACAAATAAGTATGTAAGATGTTTTTGTTAATGAGGAGATGATGTTTATAGTATAGATCGAGGGTCGCGGAAAAACAGTTATAATTACAGTAACTGGAAATCCCCACAACCATCACCTATAGACATGTAAGGCGCATGTTGTAACCAGATAATTGCTAGTGCAGAGAAAAAAATAAAACTGTATTTATTGTGGCAAGACTTATTTGAAACATTGAATAGCTTCTTCCAAACTTATTCAAAATTGATAGTAGCCCATGCTTTGGCCTAGCTGTTTATCTGGTTATTTTTTTAGAAAGTTTTCATAATATTATCTATATTCTTCATCTTTTACATGTTCATTACATTAAGAATGTTTCGTAGATTTATTACATGATTTAAGCATGTATTGTAAATATGAAAGTGTCCATGTTCTCATTACATATTATTCTCTCAGAAACATCTTGACATACATGTATTTCTTATTCAGATGTTTTCCTTGAGGTTACTTGAAATGTAACTATTCTTCTACATTCAAAACAAGGATTATTTCCTATCTTTCATGTAACCCTATAAAATTATTGCTAGAAACCAAATCATTTTAATACAAGATTTTTTTTTCTGTATCAAATCAATCTTTTCTGCATATATATATAGATTCTAAGACATTTTACCGTATTTTTCATTTACCTTTTTTACTATTTCCAAGTTTTCCAAGTGCAGCTAGTTGGTTTATAAAGTAAATATTTTAATACCAAAGTTCAAGTGAAATGTAACCAGTATTTATGGAAGTTTTGAAAAATACAGTGTATATCACATAATCTTGTTTAACATAAAGCATGATGTGTTCCAAATCAAAGACAGTATGAAATTAAAAAAGTGGTAGAAAAGAGCATATTCAAAATGGTTCTAAGTACTCTTGTTCATTTTTCCATGAAAGCACAATATATATATTACTTGTGCTTCATTAAAAAGTAATTTTGTTTCTGATAAATTATATTGTTGATCCTTTATGTTATAATTCAAATGATTTATTATTATCAGGGGTGGTTTCCAACTCCCAAACTTGCGGCAAACAGGAAACATGCACCTTTCAGGGACACCACTCAGCTCTACTAACAGCCCTCCAGACGCCAGTGCATTTGATATGATGTCACCGCGTAGTGGTAAAGACTCTAATATCAGTATTAAAAGTGAACTGAGTGGGTCTGACACTCCAGATATAAATTCAAACACTGGACGTAATGTGGTAGTTACCACGGAAACAAGTGATAAAGAACAGAATACTGATGCTGTTATAGTCCGTGAATTTGCTACTGCCACAAGTAAGTATAACCTGGATGCTTGTATATTTACTTGTAAAATGACTAGGAAAAGTAAGTGGAATATTTTACATCTAAACCACATTGCTGCAGTACACTCCAGTAAGATTACATGAATGTTTGTGTTTTAAATGTATCTTTTATTTAGATAGTGTGTATTTATATAAATATATATTAAATGTCTGTGATTGAGGTTTTTATTGATGCACAAGCATGTGTTTGTATTTTCACATACCTATCTCATAATCTGTCAAATGTTTTTCACTTTATACAGTCATGTTAAACAGTCAGAATCTCCTATGGGCTAATATTTTATTCACTTGATTAATGCGATCTTCAGCTTTTTCTAAAGGTTAAATTTGTTTTTTTAGATCAATCATTTCATAATGTCAAATCAAAAGATTTAAGGTGGAATACTATGACATTTATGTACAATAATTATGTCTTTATAAATTAATGACCAATTTTCATCAGTGTCCTTGAACATATATAGTCATAATTTGTCCCAGTTTATAATATGTATGAAATATATTGCTTATGGATTTATAATTTAAAACTCGTAAGGAATCATTCAAAGACTTCATAGTTAATTTATCATCATATCATTTTGCATGATCTGATATATTTTGTTGTTACAGTCATGTGTGGTTTTTAGTTTCAATGATCATAAATATATAAAAAGCTATGAATACTCTTTATGTTGTGTAGTTAAATTGATATTCTTTCCTTTCCAAAATGTCAAAAACTTAAAAAGATGAAATAGTCTACTTTTGCAACAAAGTTAGCAATATTTTAAATTTTTACATCTGCAGCATAAGTTTTAAGTAGAAAGGAAAGAAAACTAGAATTAGTGTTTAGCTGTATTTTGTTTTTCTGCTTTATTTTATGATTTTGCATATTGAGTTATGTTTGCATTTTCGTTAGAAACAGAAGAAGATAAAAAGGATATCCCTGCCTCACTCCCGATTCATCAGAAAGTAAACAGGTTATAAGTTCTAGTCAGTCTGAGCCAGCTGTAACTGAAGTAAAGACAGTTGACAAAGAAAATGAAAATGACAAAGTAAATGAAAATGATAATGAAAAATCTGTTATGTCAGATCAAAGTAGTAAAACTGATTCAGAAAAAGATAAAACTTGTGATACAGATGCTCAAACTAAATCAGAACCGGAAAATGTGCCAAATGTCTCAGACAGTAGTGATGCATCTCATCAAGTAGACACAAAGACAGTTACTGAAACCTTCAATGAAGGTAGTTCTGAATCTTCAGGTATAAACAATGTTGAAAGAGTATCAGAAAAGGTTATAGAAAAGAAAAGTAAAACTAAAAAATTAGGGAAAGTAGACACTAAGAAACCTGCTCAGACTGAGAGAAATGTCCTTGAAATGCCTCAGTCACCTATTTCACCAGTGTTTGACCATGGAGACTTTTCTTATGAGGAGGATGTCATGCCTGGTAAGTGTGATCCATTACATGAACATCTTGTATCAAGAAGTGTAAACCTCTTTATCTGTAACATTAACCAATTCTTATATTTGGAGCAGTGCCAAGTTTTTAAAAATTCACTGAGCAAGTGAAAATCTTACAGTAAGTATTTGCTAATTTCCCCAGAAAATTAGGTGATTTCTTTCCAGATATTTTTTCTCATATAATGGATCAAACCTGTATTGTGTTTTAAGTTTGCATTATTTATTTTTTAGTTACTTGGTGGTTTTTATTTCCATGTATTTTTTATGTGAATTTTGTTTTTGTTGCATACAAAACATAAACAAAGTCATTTCATATTGCACTATCATATAGACACACTTATTAGTTTCATACTGTTAGGGTTTTAGATTGGTAACATGCAGTGATACAATTTTCATGCATTTCTTTTCTTTTCTGTATTGCTTTCCCTTTGGATGAAATTTGCATGGTAAGTTGATATAAACAAATACCTTTACATTAAATTTTGCATTACATGCCAGCAGGCTGAATAATACTACTGTATAAGATAGCTTGAGGAAGTTTTTATATTCTACCCATGTTCTTACCTGTGTTAAATGATAAATATGGAAACCTGGGTCTTTTTTTCATCGATAAAACCAGTATTTTATGTTTGACTTTCAGTCAACAGTGTGATGATAAACAATGAAGTATACATTCATTTTGTAAATGGTTACCTGTTATATCAGCTATAAAGGGTTATATAGGCTGTAAAAGGTTATATAGGTTGTAATGGGTAATGTCTTATATAGGCTGTAAAAGGTAATAGGCTATAATGGGTTATATGTTCTGTAAGCTGTAAAGGGTAATATGTTATATAGGCTGTAATTGGTTATAAGTTCTATAAGCTGTAATCATAATGGGTAATATGTTACATTTTGTATATAGGCTGCAAAGGGTAATATGTTATATAGGCTGTAATGGGTTATATGTAATATATGCTGTTAAGGGTGATAAAAGCTGTAAAGAGTAGAACATGTATGTAATATATAAGGTTAATTTGTTATAAAGGGTTATATGTTATATAGGTTTGGATGATACTATTGCACACATAGTGGCAACAACTCCTGAGCTAGATGAGATGGAAGAATCTATGGACAGCAGTGGTAGCATGAATAATAACAGAACTCCAAAGTATGACTTACAAACAATATATTTTATTGTAAATAATAAATTGCAGTCAAGAACATATAGAGATTTTTTATTCAAGAATATTATAGTAAAATAATATAAATCTTAGAGGTAAATGTTGTAGTGTTTAACTACTTTAGGTACAATTTTTTTACTTTTATTTTATGTGAGGAAATAATTCATACGCCTTATATCAGATTTGTATGGTTTTAGTTATATAGAAGCTGTCTCTTACATTGAAACTCTAGTTCCTCAACTATACATAATGCCATATGAATCTCATTGTTTCATTTTTACTGAACCTGAAACCTGATTAGCCCTTGCCACCAGTATAAAACCAAGTAAACCTGCATGACAGTTCAGTCTGATTGGATTATACTGTGGACTGCTCAATGTTTGTATTTTAATATTGAAATCCCTTAAACTTATAATGGACTGTTTCAAATTCAAAGTCAGGGAAATCGATGACACAAACTCAGCAGGTTAAGGGTTAAAACCCATGGAACAAATAAACAATGACAGCCTGTTTGGCCAATGCATCTAAGAGTCTGTTTGGCCAATACATCTGAAGAGTCAGTTTGGCCAATGCATCTAAGAGTCTGTTTGGCCAATACATCTGAAGAGTCGGTTTGGCCAATACATCTGAAGAGTCAGTTTGGCCAATACATCTGAAGAGTCAGTTTGGCCAATACATCTGAAGAATCTGTTTGGCCAGTGCATCTAAGAGTCTGTTTGGCCAATACATCTGAAGAGTCAGTTTGGCCAATACATCTGAAGAATCTGTTTGGCCAATGCATCTAAGAGTCTGTTTGGCCAATACATCTGAAGAGTCAGTTTGGCCAATACATCTGAAGAGTCAGTTTGGCCAATGCATCTGAAGAGTCAGTTTGGCCAATACATCTGAAGAGTCAGTTTGGCCAATGCATCTGAAGAGTCAGTTTGGCCAATACATCTGAAGAGTCAGTTTGGCCAATACATCTGAAGAGTCAGTTTGGCCAATACATCTGAAGAGTCAGTTTGGCCAATGCATCTGAAGAGTCAGTTTGGCCAAATACATCTGAAGAGTCAGTTTGGCCAATGCATCTGAAGAGTCAGTTTGGCCAATACATCTGAAGAGTCAGTTTGGCCAATGCATCTGAAGAGTCAGTTTGGCCAATACATCTGAAGAGTCAGTTTGGCCAATACATCTAAGAGTCAGTCTGGCCAATACATCTGAAGAGTCAGTTTGGCCAATACATCTGAAGAGTCAGTTTGGCCAATACATCTGAAGAGTCAGTTTGGCCAATACATCTGAAGAGTCAGTTTGGCCAATGCATCTGAAGAGTCAGTTTGGCCAATACATCTGAAGAGTCAGTTTGGCCAATGCATCTGAAGAGTCAGTTTTGCCAATACATCTGAAGATATTTAATGTATATACACTGTAGTATCAAAATTTAAAACATGATCATGAATTGATTATAACATTGTATTTTATTGATTGTATTTTAGGAGAAATGATGCCTCTATATATGATGAACTTACAATACAAGATGCTGACCTTATAGGTGATGTAGATTATGGTGCTGATATTACAGGTAAATATTGGTCACACCTGACATTTGCTTATATCCCATCATTGAGTTGTTTTTGCTTTTCTTGCTGTAAGAGGAACATTTTTGGGATCCAGTTAGTTTCCTAAGTTTAGCATGAAAGAAATAGACCTGTGTTCATCAAATAGTGAAAAAGAATATTTTCAAAAATTTCCTTTTTGTAGTTGATATTAATAAATTATATTTTGAAAACACATATTACATATTGATATCAGAATTTTATATGTTAGCATCTGTTTTTAGCTCACCTGACCACGAAGTGGTCATGGTGAGGTATAGTGATGGGGCTATGTCCGGCGTCCGTCGTCGTGCGTCGTGCGTTGTGCGTCGTTCGTCGTCAACAATTGGGTTGTTAACAGTCTAGCAGTCACAGTTTTGATTGGATCATCATCAAACTTTGTCAGAATGTTTGTCTCAATGAAATACAGATCGAGTTCGAAGATGGGTTATCTCGGGTCAAAAACTAGGTCACAGGAGCTAAAAATAGAAAAAGCTTGTTAACACTCTAGAGGCTGCAGTTTTCATCCAAATATTCTGGAAATTTGTCAGGAAGGTTGTTTTAATGATATCTAGGTCAAGTTCGAAGATGGGTCATCTCCGGTCAAAAACTAGGTCACGAGCTAAAAATAGAAAAAGCTTGTTAACACTCTAACAATTGGGTTGTTAACAGTCTAGCAGTCACAGTTTTGATTGGATCATCATCAAACTTTGTCAGAATGTTTGTCTCAATGAAATACAGATCGAGTTCGAAGATGGGTTATCTCGGGTCAAAAACTAGGTCACAGGAGCTAAAAATAGAAAAAGCTTGTTAACACTCTAGAGGCTGCAGTTTTCATCCAAATATTCTGGAAATTTGTCAGGAAGGTTGTTTTGATGATATCTAGGTCAAGTTCGAAGATGGGTCATCTCTGGTCAAAAACTAGGTCACGAGCTAAAAATAGAAAAAGCTTGTTAACACTCTAATAATTGGGTTGTTAACAGTCTAGCAGTCACAGTTTTGATTGGATCATCATCGAACTTTGTCAGAATGTTTGTCTCAATGAAATACAGATCGAGTTCGAAGATGGGTTATCTCGGGTCAAAAACTAGGTCACAGGAGCTAAAAATAGAAAAAGCTTGTTAACACTCTAGAGGCTGCAGTTTTCATACAAATATTCTGGAAATTGTCAGGAAGGTTGTTTTGATGATTTCTAGTTCAAGTTCGAAGATGGGTCATCTCCGGTCAAAAACTAGGTCAAAGGAGCTAAAAATAGAAAAAGCTTGTGAATACTCTAGTGTCTGCAGTTTTCATCCAAATATTTTAGAAATTTGTCAGGAAGGTTGTTTTGATGATTTCTAGGTCAAGTTCGAAGATGGGTCATCTCCGGTCAAAAACTAGGTCACAGGTGCTAAAAATAGAAAAAGCTTGTTAACACTCTAGTGGCCGCAGTTTTCATCCAAATATTCTGGAAATTTGTCAGGAAAGTTGTTTTGATGGTTTCTAGGTCAAGTTCAAAGATGGGTCATCTCTGGTCAAAAACTAGGTCACAGGAGCTAAAAATAGAAAAAGCTTGTTAACACTCTATAGGCTGCAGTTTTCATCCAAATATTCTGGAAATTTGTCAGGAAGGTTGTTTAGATGATATCTAGGTCAAGTTTGAAGATGGATCATGTCTGGTCAAAAACTAGGTCACAGGAGCTAAAAATAGAAAAAGCTTGTTAACACTCTAGTGGCTGCAATTTTCATCCAAATATTTTGGAAATTTGTCAGGAAGGTTGTTTTGATTTTATCTAGGTCAAGTTCGAAGATGGGTCATGTCTGGTCAAAAACTAGGTCACAGGAGCTAAAAAATAGAAAAAGCTTGTTAACACTCTATAGGCTGCAGTTTTCATCCAAATATTCTGGAAATTTGTCAGGAAGGTTGTTTAGATGATATCTAGGTCAAGTTTAAAGATGGATCATGTCTGGTCAAAAACTAGGTCACAGGAGCTAAAAATAGAAAAAGCTTGTTAACACTCTAGTGGCTGCAGTTTTCATCCAAATATTCTGGAAATTTGTCAGGAAGGTTGCTTAGATAATATCTAGGTCAAGTTCGAAGATGGGTCATCTCCGGTCAAAAACTAGGTCACAGGAGCTAAAAATAGAAAAAGTTTGTTAACACTCTAGTGGCTGCAGTTTTCATCCAAATATTCTTGAAATTTGTCAGGAAGGTTGTTTTGATGATATCTAGGTCAAGTTGGAAGATGGGTAATGTCCGGTCAAAAACTAGGTCACAGGAGCTAAAAATAGAAAAAGCTTGTTAACACTCTAGTGGCTGCAGTTCTCATCCAAATATTCTGGAAATTTGTCAGGAAGGTTGTTTTGATGATATCTAGGTCAAGTTGGAAGATGGGTCATGTCCGGTCAAAAACTAGGTCACAGGTGCTAAAAATAGAAAAAGCTTGTTAACACTCTAGTGGCTGCAGTTTTCATCCAAATATTTTGGAAATTTGTCAGGAAGGTTGTTTTGATGATTTTCAGGTCAAGTTCGAAGATGGGTTATCACCGGTCAAAAACTAGGTCACAGGAGCTAAAAATAGAAAAAGCTTGTTAACACTCTAGTGGCTGCAGTTTTGATTAAAATATTCTGGAAATTTGTCAGGAAGGTTGTTTTAATGATTTCTAGGTCAAGTTCGAAGATGGGTCATGTCTGGTCAAAAACTAGGTCACAGGAGCTAAAAATAGAAAAAGCTTGTTAACACTCTAATGGTTGCAGTTTTCATCCAAACATTCTGGAAATTTGTCAGAAAAGTTTTGTTTTGATGATTTCTAGGTCAAGTTCGAAGATGGGTCATCTCAGGTCAAAAACTAGGTCACAGGAGCTAAAAATAGAAAAAGCTTGTTAACACTCTAATGGCTGCAGTTTTCATCTAAATGTTCTGGAAATTTGTCAAGAAGGTTGTTTTGATGATATCTAAGTCAAGTTCGAAGATGGGTCATCTCCGGTCAAAAACTAGGTCACAGGAGCTAAAAATAGAAAAGCTTGTTAACACATTAGGGGCTGCAGTTTTCATCCAAATATTCTTGAAATTTGTCAGGAAGGTTGTTTTGATGATGTCTAGGTAAAGTTCGAAGATGGGTTATCTCCGGTCAAAAACTAGGTCACAGGAGCTAAACATAGAAAAAGCTTGTTAACACTCTAGTGGCTGCAGTATTGATTCAAATATTCTGGAAATTTGTCAGGAAGGTTGTTTTTGATGATTTCTAGGTCAAGTTCGAAGATGGGCCATCTCAGGTCAAAAACTAGGTCACAGGAGTTAAAAATAGAAAAAGCTTGTTTACACTCTAGTGGCTGCAGTTTTTATTCAAATATTCAGGAAATTTGTCAAGAATGTTGTTTTGATGTTTTCTGGGTCAAGTGCTTAGATTGGTCATGTCTGGTCAAAAACTAGGTCACAGGAGCTAAAAATTAGAAAAATCTTTTTAACACTCTAGTGGCTGCAGTTTTGATCCAAATTTCCTGGAAATTGGTCAGGAAGGTTGTTTTGATGATTTCTAGGTCAAGTTTGAATATGGGTCGTGTCCAGTCAAAAATTAGGTCACATTGCCCAAATATGGAAAAATCTTTATAACACACTAGAGGTCACATGTTTGACTCAGTCGCATCAAACTTGGTCATGATGCTTGTTTAAGACATTGCTTGAATGCGGTTGTGTCAGGTGAGCGATCCAGGGCCATCATGGCCCTCTTGTTTTACTATTGATGAATATAGATGGATAGTTTGCATTGTTTCTGGTGTGGCTAAACTAAGCTGTAAGAAATTTTTAACAACACCTTCCATTTTCATACTTGTTTTATCCAAAGAAAAGGATTAAATGCACTTGATTATTTATGAAGTTTGGTTACCACATTTTAATGTTTCATAAAACTTGACAATATCCCTATGAATTATGAGGATTTTTTTCGCATTTTAACATGGAATATTAGAGTCTGGAGACAATAATAACTGGCCTATCTAATCATAATAAAACCAGGTACGCCCGCTGTAAATATTAAGGCTATTTATTACTCAAGTTGAGTATTTAGAATACAATATATTATATTAGTAATTAACTTTTCAATATTAGGCACGTTTTCACTTTAAATGTAAGGCTAATATAAAGTCCGCCACAACATTATGAACATTAAACAAGGCCATTATGCAAAAAGTACGGCTTTTATGAGAAAACTCAGTTATTATGAGATTTGAGAATTTTCATTGGCTCTCCAGGTCGGCCATTATGAATTATGAATCTTTTTTTTTTGTCAATTAAAAAAAGTCGCCATTTTAAATTGTTGCAAGGTAGGTTTCGAGTCGTATATACAATGATTAAGCACTGAGCTTAATGTGATATCTCCCTGTATATATGTATATATAATGATTTTGTTTGAAGGAAGGGCAGTTAATCCTGCTGATTATGCATCTTCAGGTGAGCTGGAATGTACAGTATAGTTTGATATAGTTTGCTTGTTGTAGAGTGCTTCTTGCATTGTGTTGTCTTCTTGTTCAATATCGTTTACTTTTGCTTCTACTTTTGGCTCTGAATGACACATTTTAAATGAATAATAAATCCTTACCTTTTTCATTGGCTTTCATTTACAATTTTGGCATGTTATTGAAATCATGAAACATTTTCTATTGAAAAAATATGCACTTTTTGCTAATCTGATAAAAAAACCACATGGATTTATATTTCATTTGTGTCATCAGTTTGAATTTTTCGTAACAGACCTGCATGTTGATATTATGACATGAATATTTATACTTAAAAAATAACAAAAAATAATAAGAATTTCTACTCTCTTACTATTTCTCTATCTGTGGACCAATATATATGGGAAATTATTGACATCTAAAAGATTGACCAGTATAATTGATGTTCCACTCTGTCCGATACAGACCTATTCAAACTGAGACTGCTCTAGCTGTGTGAAATCATTGTGTGACACATGCTAGAAGTGTGACACAATTTATAATTCCTGCTGGCTGGTGAAAGTCTGTGTGCAGTGCAACTTATGCCAACAATGTCTCCTGATGGCTGGTGGAAGTCTGTGTGTAACTCATGCTAGCAGTTTGACACAGTTTAAACCCCTGCTGGCAGATTCAAGCTAGTTGTGTCGTTAAGAATAAGATTGTGGTGCTCAGTCATTGTTGTTTGGTGATAGTTCATGTGTGACTCCTGGTTATAATCAGACTAGCTGGTGATTGCATGATAGTGTATACTACATCGTATTATAGCATCATTTTTAACATAAATGTATAGAATAGATCTAATATTATGTATTAGATAGTCTTCATACATAGCATAATGGTATTAACAAAATTCTTTTCTATAAAAAAGATTCATATGACAATGCTTGCTAAACTGCATGCATCAGTCTGAAATGATGAGTTATACAAAATAAAGATGTTTAATTTATATTTCCTTCACCTTAAGTGAAGGTTGAATTTACATAAATAGGTAGGTAATAAGGAAATATGTCATGAGTAACTTTTTTTTTTTGTAATGAAGCCCTAGTTAGACTGCATTGTTTTAATATAGATACAATCTAAAGTCAGATAAGCCAGTATTATGTTTAACCATTTTATTTTAGTATTGAATTAAAACAAGAAGAAAAAGTTTGTTCCTAAAATTGAAAATTTAAATCCTGAGAAGATTTGTTCCAGACATTGTCAATTCAAATTCTGTGCAATATTTCAGACAAATGTTGTTCTTCAATAATTCTTATATGAGCATAATTGTCTATAGTCATAATATAATGCTTGTATTGTAACTTATTTAAGTTAATTGACAACATGACAAGTATGTTTAAACATAATGCTGGTTAATACAGTTGCATTTTGTGCATTATTTTATGTTAACATTCATTAACAACTGTCTCACAGTTATCTTATACTCCAATTATATGTAAAAAAAAATATGAGAAGTAATGGAATTCAAATGATTTAGATTATATCTCTGATAAATTACAAACCACAAGTTAAAACCCAGAAATAAGATGTACAGATATAGACAAATGTTTTCAGGATGCCTGATGATAAAATAATACTATTAAAACTCAACCAATAAAACTCAATGAATTTTGGTCAAATTTCACCCTCAAAAATATTTTTCTTTATTTGTTGTTATTTATTCTATTTTGTTTACAAACATAAGAGTTCATTTAGCTACTGAAGATCGAATAATGCTATAAAACTAAGTAATTTCTTAACAAAATTTGAGACATCATTATAGGGAATACTGTGAGACAATTGTTGATGTTTATATTACGTTAGTTTGAGGGCATGTAGTTTGTATTGTGTTGATGTTGTTTATTTCTGTTGTTTAAACAGACAGTGAAGATGAGAAAGATGAACGAGGATCCAATGGTAGGAAAAACATTTATATTACTTTATATATCAAAATTATCACTGTCCGGTAATTATATGAAGTTAGATCTGGTTAAAAAGAAAATTACACTGGTTCTTAATTTACCTTTTAAGGGGGGACAACTTATTTATTAGCCTGTATACTTTGGTTTAATTTAATATGCCCTCTTGAAAAGATTATTTTACATTACATATTTGCTTGAGGAAATTTCAAAAATACTTTCCACGAAAGTTTTATATCTATGTTAAGAAATATATATTTAAATTCTTTTTACCATTAAATAAAGATAAACATATAATGCATTTGTGATTTTAGTGTTTATGCAAGATGGTAACCATTTTCAATTTGTAATTTATCATACTCAGGGATGGTTCCATTGTTAGATAGTTGAATGTTTGCATGATAGAAAATACATAATACCAAGTTTTGTAACAGTCTGTCGAGATTGTTCAAGATTTGAATGCTTCTGTGTGGAACATTTTACAAATTTTTGAAAACTCTGATATTGAATATTTATGTATGAATTGTGTGTTATCTGAAGTATTACATAAAAATGTATTATTAAAATATTTTGTTAAGATCTGCTGTCAAAACAAGAATCTACAGCCAAATTTATGGATGATGGTACCACAAAGTATTGATACTTTGTAAATTTTGATAACTTATGAAGTAAAAGTGCCAATCAAAACAAATATGAAGTAGAAATTAAGAACACAAAAATTGAAATAACAAATATTTTGGTATATATAATATATAAGTAAAGAATCAGAAGTTGTATGATGTTCATGTAGTGGTTTATAGATGATTTACTAACACTAGTGTGTTTTTTTTTCTTTCCTACCATGCTTCTTCTAACCAACGGGTTGTTGTTGTTGAACTCTACAGTGAGTGACAACTTCTTTGGTAAGCATTATTTTACTGGGAAGAACTCTTAACATGAAAAATTTAATAGTTCATGAAAATGGAAACATTTTAAATTGTAATGGTTTTGGTATATATCAGCTTTTGAGAATGTAAAGTTGATACTTTGTTCATAAGAGTACAGTTGGGTTATGGAGATATGCTATTGCCTAAAGTTGGTAAGGATTTATATACAGGAAAATTACAATGTGATTAGGTCATATGCCAAGCTGGTAACATTGATTATGTTTTCTTGAATCCACAAGATGTAAAATCAAGATCATCTACCAGTTTATGTCCGTAAAGAAAGAATAAAAATCTTGGGAAATGATATGAAGCTATAGTGGACAATCATTGTTTCTGTAATAAGGGTGGGGGAAGTAGTCAAATTATATTTCAATTAGACTGAAACAAGGTTTGTACATTAAATAAGATGTCAGATAAGGTGTTGAACAGGTAAGAATATGTTTGATGATTAAAAAAACATTCAAATTTCTTTATTTAGTTTGTTATTGTTTATAATAGTTTGATTTATCATTGTGGAAGTAAAATTTAGGGTTTATAACATGTAGAAATCTTTATTAATGAACCTGCATAATAATGAAATATTTTTTCTTCATCTCTACTTATTTCATATAATTATAAAGTCTTCTTTAAGCCTTCCAGTTAATTGAATTATTAAAAAGAATATCTACCTTAGAATTAGTAATACTGACCTAACAATGGAATTGAGTTTCACAATAGACTTTGTAACATCTGAACTTGTTTAATCAAATAAAATATAGTTTCAATATAGAATTTGTAACATCTAAACTAACAATAATTTTATTTCTTTTGTCAACTTCTGTCTCAATTCTTTCCATGCAAGTGTTTTACTATTGCTCATTATTGACCAAGTATTTATGTTTTGTTGTTATTGCAGGCATGAGCAGAGAACTGGAGAATCTAATCCTCGAAAATACAGAACTTTTAGCTACAAAGTAAGTACATTCTTATATGACAATTTTCCTGTGTTGTGATTGGTCAAGATATAGTCACATGACAGTCAGTAAAAAGTTACATTGCCCTCGACTAGATGATATTGATGTAAATAAATTATTTCATAAGTGTGGTGCTAGATTTTTAAAATTCTGTTATTAGAAGCCAGTCATTAATGGCTTCAAAAGATTTAGGGTACTATGATAATAATCAAAAACAGTGTTATGGAAATTAAACATCCTGTGTAAATTATAGATTCTGACAGCATTTTTTTCTGGCTAAAATTCAAGATGGAAGAAAAGGTTTATTGCTTCCTATTCTTATGAATGAGAATCAAATGCTGAAAATAGGAAAACAATTTCTAATATTTTATTTGGCTTATTTAGGGGTTATTTGCATGAAAATAGGAAATCAGACAACTTTAAAAATTTTAACCAAATGAACGAGTGAATACCCAAGTCTGCGGACATCATCATTATACAATACTGGTATAATATCTTCAAAAATGTATTTATAGCCCCAGTGTAGGTATAATGGTGTTTTGAAATTCATATCATTAAAATATGGTTATATACAATGTGCATATGTTTTCCAAATTATTTTAACCATAATGATGTTTTGGAATATGTTTATGACATGTTTAAATCCTTGAGTATGTTTAGATATATTATTTCTTATTTATCAAAAGGAACCATTTATAAACACTGCACATGTGCTTAATGTAAATAGCATGTCAAATGCAGCCATATTCAATTTTTTGAGCAGGAATATCTTACAGTTTATCTTATGATAAAGAATGTTTGATCACATATTATGGTTGACTTTTACAGGAATGCCTTAAACATCGTGAAAGATGATCTAATTGCCAAGGTGGATGAGCTGTCTAGGTATGTACATTATGATATGTTTGAAATTTATTTCTACTTTTTTCAAATAAAGCATATTTCATGCACATTAGAATATAATATCAATTATTCTCTAAACATTTCTGTTACTAGCCTTTGCTAGTATAGGGCTAGGCCAGCCTGAGCATCCATTCAGTTTTGGTAGGTTATTTTCTGAGGGCTGCTTAATAAAATTTTAATGATAGCCCTCACAGTAACAATGAACCATTCCAGATTCAAAGCAAGGCTAGTCCATTATACAAAAGGAAAGTTTAAGCGTTCAATCCTTAATATTATATTTAATTGAAAAAGGGATAGTTAGATAGCCTGAACTATGCATGCAGTTATGATAATTGAAATACAAACTGATAAATTGTCTAAAGCAAAGCAAAGTACATGTATATATTGTTAACCAAATTTTAGTTAGATTGATGGGTAAATATTCACTTATGACATACAACAGATCTTGTATTATACTTTAGATGAGACTGTACACAGGGCTTATATATGTATATATATTTGTATATTTACAGTGAGCAAGAAATCTTGAAGGGAGAGATAACATCTCTGAAGGCAGTAAAGGACAAATTACAGGGTAGAATAAAAGATCTAGAGGAGGAAGTAAAGAAAACAAAGGAAGAATTAGAGAAGAAATCACAGCAAGCACAAGAAGGAGAGACTGAGGTGAGTGTTTTCAGGTTACTGGTCTACCATTCTAGAGATTTATACATACATGATATAAAACATGTAACGTTATACATATTGGCATATATCATTTTAGGTATTATTGCACATTTAAGTTGTAGCTAAATGGCTAGTATGTTCAATTTCATTTCATTGTTGCCTCCCTTTGACTTTTATATGTAAAATCCATAGAATATAAAAGAGTATATGAACTTTTTCACTTTGCATATTCTCTTATAGTACATGGATTTAATGAAAATATAGAGATATAACCATTTTTGAATTAAGTGAAATATCATGGCATATTCATTAATTAAATTGCAATGTAGCGGCTTTCCAATAATTTAGATAATGTGAAATAACAATGAAATGATATATTTAGTACAAAATTACATGTGACTAAAAAGACGTAATCGTTTTTAGTATTTTTTTCAGTAGGAGCTTTTTTTCCCTCTTTAAAACTTTGTATGTGGAGATTGTTTTAGTATTCCTGTCAGTCTTGTTTCAGATACTGTTTAAATGTGTCAGTCTGAAAGTAATTGATGTTTTTGAGATGATAAGTTGACAATATAATGATGTTACAGGACGATGTACCGATGGCACAGCGTAAACGTTTTACACGTGTAGAGATGGCGCGTGTATTGATGGAGCGTAACCAATACAAGGAGAGACTTATGGAGTTACAAGAGGCGGTGCGTTGGACAGAAATGATCCGGGCTTCCAGGGAACATCCAGAAATTGCTACATCTAAGAAGAAGTCTTCCATATGGAACTTGTAAGTACTCACTGTTGTTGTATATATAATAAACCTGCCTCTTTTAGCTGATGTGATCTTATGCATGTTTTAACACAGACCAGTATTTTGTGTGATACCATGTTTTATGATCCAGTTGTCAGAAATTTTTATCTTTTATAATTCATACTTGAAAAGATTATGCCTTTTGAAAAGAAGAAAGGATGTTTATAGCAACTACAAAAGTAAAAAATTTTGTAGCTTTAACATAAATGAAATATTGGTCTGAAGTTTTTGAAAGATATGAACTTTAATAACATTTCCTGAAAGGTTTGTCAAATTTGAAACAGCTATATAAAATGTCTTCGGTAAGATTACTGTCATTAAAAGATAACAAATACATAGCTTGAACATGTGCTTTTTCATATAAAGCTTCTAGCAGATCCAGATTTACTTTCTAGTGCATCGTTTGTTTTATATAAGTGAAGTATAGTTATACATCATGTGATCAAAATTGTCACGAATAATGTATGTCTATATTCTTGCATACAATGTTTATACACAATAAGAAAGTTTTTATATTAAACAATTATCAATATGTAAAATATGGACTAGTCAAAATTAGCTGAAGAAAGTAAAAAGTAACACTGTATATGAGAGAGAATCTGGATCTGTTCATGGGCAATATTATGTAGAGATAATTGGTTATCTTGTCATGTGACCTTACTTTTATTGAAGTTTTTATAAATTCTATTGTTCATATTTACTCATTATTTTCTTTTCAGTTATCCAAATGTTTTCTTGTTCATGTTACATGTTCTAGTTCTGGTTTCATATTTATTCATGTTACAAGTGGACAGTTACTATCCATTTACCTTCTCACAAAGTTTGGAACATGTTGATGCTGTTGTTTAAAAGTTATAAACAGTTCTTTGCTATTGTTTCCCTGGTTGAAGTACATATGAATAGTTTGTTGGGGAAGTTATAATTGATTTCACTCAACAGATTGTGAAAAATATGGGCTGATTTTTTTTATGCCACCGCAGTATCTGCGATGCGGTGGCATATAGCGATTCACCTGTGTGTGTGTGTGTGTGTGTGTTTGTTTGTGTGTGTGTGTGTTATATAGATTATATAGTGAACTTAAAAAATCTTCTTGTGAAAAACCACTTGTCCAATTTCAACCAAACTTGGAAGGGTTGATCCTTGGGTGAAGGGGTTCCAAAGTTGTTCAAAGAATTTCATTCCATGCAGAAATCTGGTTGCCATGGCAACCAAAAGGAATTATAAGAATAAATTTAAAAAATCTTCTTGTAAAGACCCAAAAGGCCTAGAGCTTAGATATTTTGCATAAGGCATTGTCTGGTAGACCTCTACCAAGATTGTTCAAATTAAAGCCCTTGGGTCAAAATCGGCCCTGCCCTGGGGGTCATTGATTTTCACTATATGTACATATAGTAAAAACTTAAAAAACTATCTTGTAAAGACCGAAAAGGCCTAGAGCTTAGATTTTTTGCATAAGGCATTGTCTGGTAGACCTCTACCAAGATTGTTCAAATTATAGCACTAGGGTCAAAATCAGCCCCGCCCCGTGGCAACCAAAAGGAATTATAAGAATAAATTTAAAAAATCTTCTTGTAAAGACCCAAAAGGCCTAGAGCTTAGATATTTTGCATAAGGCATTGTCTGGTAGACCTCTACCAAGATTGTTCAAATTATAGCCCTGGGGTCAAAATCGGCCCCGCCCCGGGGGTCATTGATTTTCACTATATGTACATATAGTAAAAACTTAAAATACCTTCTTGTAAAGACCAAAAAGGCCTAGAGCTTAGATTTTTTGCATAAAGCATTGTCTGGTAGACCTCTACCAAGATTGTTCAAATTATAGCCCTGGGGTCAAAATCGGCCCCGCCCCGGGGTCATTGCTTTTCACTATATGTACATATAGTAAAAACTTAAAATACCTTCTTCCAAAGACCCAAAAGGCCTAGAGCTTAGGTATTTTGCAGAAGGTATTGTCTGGTAGACCTCTACCCAGACTATTCAAATTATAGCCCTGGGGTCAAAATCGGCCTGCCGGGGGGTCATTAGTTTTCCTTATATGTATCTTCAATATATACTTATAGTAAAAAATCTTATTGTCTTTATTAGAGCTTAAATATTTTTTAAAATGATATCATCTATAGGAACTCTACCAAAGTTGTTCAAATTTTGCCTCTAGTGTCAAAATTAGCCCCGCCCAGGGGGCCATAGGTTTTCCTTATATGTATATATATATACATATATATATATAGTAAAAAAATATATTTTTATCTGAAGGTACAAGGCATAGAGCTTTGATGTTTGCTATATAATATCATCTATAGGTCCTCTTCCAAAGTTGTTCAATTATTCCCCTGGTGTCAAAATTGGCCCTGCCTGGGGGCAGTGATTCTCATTATGTACACATAGTAAAAACAGAAAATAAAACAAATGTTTTCTGAATGGGAGAAAGCTACAGCTTAGATATTTGACTTGAAATGTTGTTCGGTGGACCTGTATCAAGATTGTTTTGAATGAAACCCTTGGGTCCAAAATTTTGCCTTGCCCAAGGGGACAGTGACCTACTTTCTTGTCCTTTGATGTACAGCAATGAAATTTTGACCATGTGCACAGTTTTAGTTGTAAAATTGAATTTTGATATCAGGTGACCTAGATTTTGATGATGTGACCTATTTTCTTGTCCTTTGATGTACAGCTATGAAATTTGAACCATGTGCACAGATTAAGACGTAAAGTGAACTTTGATTTCAGCTGACCTAGATTTTGACAAAGTGTCTTACTGTTCTTTGATGTAGTCATGAAATTTAGGCTGTGTGAAATATGACCTTCACCACCAAATTCACTAGACTCGAGTGCATTGATATATTCCTACTCTGATCTTTTATTGAGTTAACAACAGATTTAACCACTAATCTGATAATAAGAATAAGATATGTCAGGGATCTATGCATTATGACATTCTTCAAAATTGTATAGAAACAAAAAAAAATCTGTTCCAACACTACTATTTAGTGTTGTATTAATGCGGTGGCATAGCATTTTTCTCAAATGCAATCTTGTTTAAACTTACTTTCCTGGACATTTATAATACATAGGTCAAATCATTGTTCAAAGTTTATTTGTAAAGAAGTTATTTCCTCAGGGGAGTTGTCTTAGTACTTCAATTCAGTCTCAGTTATTTGACAGACTTTAGACTTTTTTTCATACAACAAAAGGTATTCTACTGGCTATTTTACTATCATTTCATATAGAAAAAAGCATTTTGGCATCTTGCCAGAATTTCAAAGTTTTTTATAATCAAGGAGAGTTATCTAACTTGGCATATTACCTTCCTTTCAGTTTCAGTAATTTGGTGGCCCCAGACCCACCCCCTGCACCTACACCAAAGAAGAAGGCAGGACAATATGAAACACAAATTGTCTGACAAAAAACTATTCAGTCTTCATATTTTAGTACTCAAACCTTTTTTTACAGTTCTGTTTTTTTACCTTTGAATGTTTTTTAAAACTCATTGTTAAAGAAGTGATGGACAAGTTTTATTGCTTGTATCAAGTAAGGATCATAGAAATTCAAAACCTGAACATATGATATTACCTACATTGTATGTCTACTACTGATATTCTATATATTTAGGCAGTTTCTTTATAAATAATCAAGTATTTTATAACTTGTTTAAGATCTTTAACCCTTAACATGCTGAATATTTTAAATGGACTTGTCCCACTTCCATTTTTGGGACTGTCCATAATCAATTTTAAGGATATCAATTATGAGTATTTAAAGTTTGTCAGCCAACAGTATAGAGCCTGGTTAGACTGCACAGACGTGCAGGCTGGCCTGGCTCTATACCGGTGGCAAAGGCTTAACGCTTTCGGTTCCATTTCAAATGTAATGATTTTGTCTTTACTCTAATTAAGGTATATGGTCTTGTTTTTTTCTTCTTTTTGTTCTTATTTTTGATGACATTTCATACTCAGTGATATTAACGAGATTAATTGGAAATCAAATATTTAACTCACTAAAATCATTGCTTCTTATTTCTTATAATATGATTAGTTTTAACTCATCAGTCAACTTACTCATCATGTCATATTTCTAAACAGTGCACTTTTTATCTCTTATGAACTAGCCATGTATTTTCTTTGTTCTTCATTTACAAAAAGAAAGAACAATGTTCAACAATGTATGTTTATCAATGGTAGCTGTATCGTAAGTTGATATATTCTCAGGATCATTGGTGCTACTTGTACAATATAATGTACATATTTTATGTTGATATGAAATTAGGCATAGAGATAGTTATCACTGATTATCTGTACAAGTAAGAGTTATCTCCCATTCTTGTTTCTAGATCAAGTGTTTGTAAAGTATGTGTAGATTGAAATGAAACTTTATGGACATAATCAGAACCAGACTTGGTGTGTTTTTTTTCTCCATAATTCTTAGATGTATGTGTAGATGTAAAGTAAATATATCTGATTATCTATATTTAGAAAGAGGTAGCTAATCAGTAGGTGATATTTAAAAAAGTAAGAAGTGTGTTTAAATTATACAGTTTGTTGCCATAATTATGCCCCCATTTTGAAAAAAAGGGGGTATATTGCTTTGCACTTGTCGGTCCGTCGGTCCGTCGGTCCGTCGGTCCGTAGACCAAATGGTTTCCGAGTGATAACTAAAGAACCCTTAGGCCTAGGAACTTCAAACTTGGTATGGTGATTGGTCATGACCAGTAGATGACCCCTATTGATTTTGGGGTCAAGGGGTCAAAGGTCAAGGTCACATTGACCTTGAAAGCAAAAACGGTTTCCGATCAATAACTAAAGAACCTTAAGGCCTAGGAACTTCAAACTTGGTATGGTGATTGGTCATGACCAGTAGATGACCCCTATTGATTTTGGAGTCAAGGGGTCAAAGGTCAAGGTCACATTGACCTTGAAAGCAAAAACAGTTTCTGATCAATAACTAAAGAACCTTAAGGCCTAGGAACTTCAAACTTGGTA